ACTAAAGCAGAGGTGCAGTTTCATGAGTGTTTACTTGGGATTGACTGCAAAAGCCAAGAAATCCTACCTTGGTCCCATGTTTAAATGCCCACGTTTACATCAGAATTTAACGTGTTTACAGCCTGGGTCAAAGATGGACGAACACTTACGGTCAGGTTAGGACATAGGAGCTGTTCGCTGCGAGGCTAAAAGCCACTCTCAGCTTCAACTCTTTGCTTTTATTCAGACTGATCAGAGGCTGCGTCAACATTACCCAACATGCCGCCTGCCAAGGTTGGGCTTCACAATACCTCCACAGAAACTCATCAATGTCACAGAGACTTAAGAATAAGAATAAGAACTCTATTTATTCTTGAAGTGAAATTTAATTGTCTGTAGTCTCGTCTGTCATGTCTCAAAAAGTTATCTACTATTTAGAGAAGAATTATAAAGTCTGATGGCTGTTGGTACAAAAAAATCATCTGAACCTTTCTGTCTTTCAGCGAAGAGAGAGGAGCCGTCCACCACCATTGGCCCTTTGGTCCATTAAGGTGTTGTGAAGTGGGTGATCCATGTTCTTTAGAATAGTCTCCACCTTCTTCAGTGTAGATCTCTCCACCACATCCTCCACTGAGTCCAACTTGAATCCAGCCACAGAGCCAGCCTTTTTCACCAGTTTGTTCAGACGTCTCGCATCTTTGTGTTTGATGCTTCCTCCCCTGCAGACTGCAGCGTAGAACAGAACACTTGCCACCACAGACTGATAAAACATCTGCAGCATCCTACTACAGATGTCTATTGATCAGCGTCTTCTCAGGCAAAAGAGGCAGCTCAGCCCCTGTTTGTAGATGAAGTCTATATTCTTCGACCAGTCCAACTTATTATCCAGATGTACACCTAGATATTCATATGATGACACCCTTCAATGTCCACCCCACAGGTGTTCACTGGCTGAAGAGGGGGTTTGAGTCTGTGGAAGTCTATGATCATTTCTTTTGACTTTGAGGTGTTGAGTAGGAGGCAGTTATTGTGACTCCAGTCACTGAAGGCTCTTATTAGATCTCTGTATTCAGCTTTATGTCTGTTTTTGATACATGCCACGATAGCAGTGTCGTCTGAGTATTTCTATGTCTATGTTTTCTAAAGTTTATGGTTCTACTACACTGGTAAAAGAGCGGCGACTGTTCATGATCCGTCATGATATGTTTCATTTAAAGAGCAGCGCCAAACTCGGTAGCTGAGTTCAACCCACCACCATTAATTTATTTCCTCTTTCAACCAAGGAGAAAATAAAACCCAGCCACTTCAGCTTTCAATCACAGTCTGTCAAGGTTATCCGTCGTTTTGACCGCTACAGAATATTGAATAAATATTCAGATGCTCATTCATTCATTCGTTCAAGATTTTGCGGAGCAGCTGCTGTACAGACGTGATTCTCTGCTTTAACCCTGCTGTATGGATCTACCAAACTTAAAGCACAGCCACACTTGGTTTGAAATGCTAACTGACCTCTATGGTTGGCTGCAAGCTGTAACACAAGATTTGCCAGCTACACCGCAAGATTACAAGACTGGCGTGAATTACACTGACTGGAGTATCACATACACTATATACCTGAGCACTTATCTTATGACTGCTTTGGGAAACTTGAGTTTTTTAGTAGAGTCTGTTAGCTAGGCTATCAAATTTATATGTTACCTGCCAAGTATATTGATTCTGAGTGTCGTAAGCTGCTGTTTAAGACTACGTCTACATGTGCCCGTCTATTTTTATAAACAGACATTTTACCCTCTCTGTTTAAAAAAAAAAACTGAGTGTACACCACTACATTTAAGAAGTGTTCGTTTACACTAACCTGTGTTTATATGCCGTCAAGAGCATGCCAAACCTGTAGATGGCAGTGTAGAGAGAAGCTCAAGCACACGTTAGCCAATCAGAATCCTGTATCTTGTCTTTGCTTCTCCACATAACACAGCACTTGTATTTGCAAATGCAAACAAATACAAAGGGATTGCACCAGCATCAATGCGACTGCTATTCTGCATGCATCCATGATCACTATAGATTGTTAACACAGACTGTAGATTGTAAACAACGTCTCATTTAACCCAATTACCGGTGCACAATCTGCCATCGGCTACCCAAATCTCAGTTTTTCTCTGTTTACATGCAAATGAAGTTTTCCAAAATGTCCACTCTGGCCGAAGTTTTTAAAAAGCATTGTTTTCACGGGTGAATTCTCCGTTTGCATCTCAACGAAGGGTGCAAACGATGGTTAATGTCTCTGTTTTTAAAAATAACCGGCTATGTATAAATGGTGCGGGGATAGCGCCTGCAAAATCCTGGTTTAAAGAGGGTTGGCCGCACCACTTTTGCTCCTGCTATCAATTGCGCACGCAATGATAGTAGATCACCCGCAACACGCCCACTAAAATCACGTGTGATTTGTTAGTTTGCACACGCAATTTAGCGCTCGCTATTTTGGATCTTAGTAGATCAGGCCCTAACTGTGGTAGTTGATGCAGAGGCTTAAATCATTGGTCCACTTTGAAATTATCTACCAGTTAGGGCTCAGGAGACAGCTAAGGGTTCTGCCTATTTAGATGAAATATGCCCTCAGTGCTGTTGCCAAATATTTGCTTATTGGTTAATTAAATTGGGTCTCTGAAACAAAAAAACACCATTCAGACCACTCATTATGTTAAGTGTTTCCGTTCTGTGATTCCCCCCAAAATCTGATTGTTTGTTGACTTACTTTGTACCGTTATTGTTCACAGGGTGTCAAAAACAGCTCTCAGAGTTTTCAAAGTTTTTGTCTAAAATGTAAATAAAAAAGCTTTTAGACTTCTTCATCTCCAAAACTTTTTGTAAAGGTCACATAATCCTTATCTGGGCTGCGTATTCCCCTCTTACGTAAGCTCATCCTCAGCAAAAAGAACATCCTTATATCATGGCGGCTCTGTTTTTGTGTAGGATTCACTGCCTGCAGGTAATCCTTGCCTTAACTCTGGCCAATGCGGATTGTCGTTTGACTGAGTGACGTGCTTTCATGAATCATGTGGTCAGATTTCCAAACTGACTCGCTGCATTTTGTCATTCTGACATCTCCATCCAAGCATACAAAATGCCATGCCGTAGACGGTTTGCCTCAGAGTTAAAAGTAGAATTCACTGAAAAAAATCTCTATCTAGAGCATTGGTTGGAGTTTGTTTTGTATGAAAACAAAACAGTGCTCCAGAAATCGTTTCCATGGCTAGAATCATCCAATTTCCTTGATTTGCATATTGACTTGTGCTCATTTTTGTTGGATGTGAAACAGATGTCTTTGCTTATTCCTTTTTTTATTTTTTGTCTGTGCAGGCACTCTAGGGCTTTAACATTTTGAGATCCTTCCAGGGTTGCTTAGCTGCCCTGTTGGAAAAATGACCAAAATTCAAGCTCTGATAAACTAGCTCATATAATATGGTTTATTTTTCAAACAAGTATCTTTTTGCCTTAGAGCATTTGCAATCCATTTAATTAACAACTGGTGATCAGATAGTGGGAATATAATCAGAAATCATAATGTTCTTGTTCTCAAATCAGTCTTCATTTGAGCAAAGCCATTGTTCGTGAGTCTGAAAAGGTAGAAGAAGAAAGAAAGGTGGAGGAGTTGTGTCGTCTTCTACTCACCAGAGTCCTCCTTCCCTGTGTTTTCAGATACACTACAACAAAATATACTTGTTTCTTGTCTTTTGAGGCCCTCAGTCTAGTCAAGTTCACACACAGTTTGCTTTTTAAGGAGATAAGGGACTCCTTTGACCAGGACTCACTCCACTTTACAGCCGCCCTCACCACTTTAGAAACAGCAGGCCCTGACAAGTGTTTCTGGCTGTGGATGCAATAAGCCTGCACAGTATGGATCAAAGTTGAACAAGTAGTGACAGCAAAATGTATGATAAAACTAGAGCTTATGGAAATGCATCAGAAAGTGCTTCGTTTCATGAAGTTTCAAGGCTTGATTGAAGATTGTATTTGACAAAATATTTGTGTCTCTGCTTAAAATGTGAGCAGTATGGTTGTAAATAGAAATTATTTGGCTGCAGGCCTAAATAAAATCCACTGGGAGAAATGGGCAGAAACTTCATAAATGATACAGAGCCCAAAGAAAAGAATAGCAGACACTTGCTGCCAGAACAACCCGAACTCCAAAAGTCTCTAATCTAATCTTATATAATCTAATCAAAAATATGTCAAATGCTAAAACTCAGAAATCTTATTGTTTGATGAAAATAAATGCTCATTTTAAAACTTATGCCAGGAACAAAAAGTTTGGACAGGAACCCAAAAACCGAAAAGTTCTTTAATTGGTTGATTTTTTTGGCTGGTTAGTAATAAAACAGGGCGTAAGATGGCACCTCAGAAAGTTAAGAGGAAGTTCATCAGTTATGAGACAACGTGTGAGTAAGTAGTTGAATAACTACAGAATGATGTTTTTTTGGAGTTTGGGAATTTCGTTGACATTCTTTTTGGAAATCATGGAAGGTGCCCCTGTTGCTCTACAGAGAATAGATACCATCAGGCTTGTCATCTTAGCACAGTTTAGGCCCAGTTTATATGCACCTGGTTATTTTTGAAAATGAAGACCTTAACCATCGTTTGCACCCTTCGTTCAGACGCTTTTTAAAAACTCTGGCCAAAGTGGAAATTTGATCTGTTTGCAAGTTTGCATATTAACAGAGAAAAACTGAGATTTGGCTAGCCGACGGCAGATTGTGAGCTGGAAAGAAGGAAGTGACATTGTTGTTGTGGCTGGTATGTGGGATTCTGATTGGCTAATGTGGGCTTAAGCTCTTCGCTACACTGCCTCCTACAGGTTTGGCATGCTCTTGACCGCATACATACATGAGTTAATGTAAACAAAAACGTAGTGGTGTGCACTCAGTTTATTTTGTAAACGGAGAGGGTAAAATGTCCATTTATAAAGATAGTGTAAACGTGTACACGTAGTTCAAAAGTCATGTGTGAGGAACCCCTTGGCTTGGAAGGAACTTTTAATGCTGACAAGTTTATACAGATTTTGGAGCAAAATACTCTGCTATCTAAACAATGACTTGTTCAGGGAAGACTTTGCATATTTCAGCAGGACAATGACAAAATACATTCTGCGCTGATTACAACATGACTCCGTGGTAGAGGAGTCTGGGTGCTAAACTGTAACCCTTTATAAATCTTTGGGTGTAAACTATGAAATAACTCTTCAAATAACCATAAGCGATTAGCTATGCGTTAGCCTGTCATGTCATTGCCTGCTTTGTTCACATTGACGTTTTTTGACTTTATTTTATTCTATTTCAACATAAAAACATTTTTTTACTTCCAGCAAAAGGCTAAACAATCATGCCTGTCATATTTGCAATAAGCCTCAGATGTGCACACTCACAAAAAGGGCATAATTTAGCATTGCAAAGTCTGCATCAGAGTCCTAACACAGTTAATGATGTTGGTCAGCACTAAACCCTCACACACTCACCCAAAGGCACCTGGAAGCCTGTCAATTAGTTAGTGCAGAGCTTGAGATTGGGCACAGTCCCAAATCCCTTCGCTCTTGTTTTGGTTCATTTAGAGTAAGAAACTTCTAAAATGTGGGCATCTGGGTTTTTTAAGTAAGAGTGGGATAACAGCATCAATTATGTTGCCTTAGTTACTGTATTATTTTGTTTGACAGATGTACTTCTCAACTGAGCAACTGTTGAAAACAAACACAATTCCACATTTCCTCTCAAATTGGTTGGCTTGATGGGTTGTTGGTCAATATTAAAACTACAAAAAAAAACAAAAAAAAAAACTAGTTAGTGTTGGCCAGTTATCCACACAATAAAATACAAACAGGATGAACTGAAAAACATCTGTGTTCAGTTAAGCTGGAGTTCATTCTTGTGACAACTGTATTCAGTATAAAGGACACACACATTCACAAATCAAGAGATGTAAATCAATCAGCTGGATATAAGTGTAATAAGTTTATTACCTGGATGATGGCTAAAAAGGTTCCCCACCTGCATGGTTGTCCTGCTGTGTCAGTTCTTGGTCCCCGAGTTTGTTTTTCCTCAGACTGTGCCTGAAAAGCATGTGTAGAGACAGTATTTATTAGGAGTTTTGAAATGGGGGATCCGTTATGCACCAGTGACAGTACAAGACATGCAGTCAGCAAAACTGGCAAATCTTTTTGTGTGTCTCATAAACTCTCACAGACACATTTTCAGGGTGACACAGCCACAGAAAACACTGGGTATTTATTTTTGGGACAACTCATGCAAGTGTGGGGAAATCTGTGCCACTACAAATCTAATGCGTTCCGAGCTTGTTTTTGTTGCACAATTTAAAATGTTTTTATTTCAAACATGTTTTACTGCCATGAACCACACTTGTCCATGGAGTAATCCTAGCCTTTCAAAAGGATGATGCATCCATAAAAGCATGACTGAGAGGAAACAAAATGTTTTCAGAGACAACATTGTTGTCTGGCAAGAGGGTGTGGTTGCAGGCACATTTGATGTTGTAGTGCAGTCTAAAATCAGCAACTCTTTCACTATATCATCATTTTGACATATGTAGCTCATTCTGCCACAAATTACAGCATGTTTTCTTGATATGAAATGCAAATACGATGCAGCTCTTCGCTCCCTGTGCTGCCGTTCTTTAAGACCTTTTTTGTTTACTGAGGAATGCACACTTGAGTTCACTTGGAGTGGAGAAAGGAGGTGGGTATAAGCTGTTTGACAGAACCATGTAATATTTCACAATTTACCTGTCAGCTGTCAAAGCTTTAGTAGACATCAGGGGCTTTGTGTACACATGCATGCAACACATTTTACACACATGCACACACATACATGCACACGTCCTGGCTGACATTTTATCTGCAGCATTTTCTGTTTTACTTTCTTTCAAAATAGCGTGCATATAAAGATCAAGCTGTTCATGTGAAAAATGGTTGGTGTTGTTATTCTTACACTTGTGTAGGTTTACATATTGTCATTTAATCTGTGCACTTAATGAGGGAGTAATGCATTTCAAATTTTAGACTGTGTGACGTCGATCAATAGATCATTATGGTTTAAATTACAGGGAGCAACGGTTTTGAATATTGATACAAAAGAAGGGTGTTGCAGCACATATCCAGTGTCAGACCAGGTTTACAACAGCCCTCTATACACTGTGTACTGACTTCTCTTATAGCAATTTGTGTAAATATGTGACAAGATTCTTAGTATGTGCAGCATTTCACAGTGATTGATATGTACACATAACCTGCGGCAATTTAAGGCAATGCCGGCATATTATGCTTTTGCACTGCAAACACACTAGACATATTCACAGTTGTGTGGCCTTGAAACCAGTATTGTGGAGTCTGCAGGGGGCTGGTAAGAGAACACTATAAAGAGAGAAAGTCACGGGGGAAAATGCTGCTACTCATGCTAACTGCAGATGTTTCCAGGAACATCGAAACTATTGCTCAGTCCGTTTTGTAAACATTAATCAGTGAGTAAAACTGTGCAGAGGCAATTGTGTTCATTTAAAATTGTTTACAAGCAGAATACCAGTTTTTAAAAATCAATTTGTACCATCAGTTTTCAAAAGAACATTCAGTTACACTTTATTTGAGGACTACCTCTAAAATGCATTATAAATATATGTATAATGTGTTACAACCACATTATAGCACTGTATAACTATAGTTACAAACACTCATAAATGATCATAATGCTTTATAGCTATAATCATTACAAATTATAAAGCATTTTATCATGACTTACAAGGTCAGGTATTATAATGTGTTATAACTGTAAACAACTCACTGACAATGCCCATGTAGATAATGCAATAATACAGACTCTACTTCTTAGGGAAGTGGAGGTCCTTAAACGTGTGCAGCAAGATGTTGGAGATGTTCTACCAGTCTGTGGTGTCCGGCGTACAGTGACACCAACAGACTCAACAAACTGATCAGGAGGGCTGGCTCCGTGATTGGCTGCAAACAGGACACTGTGGAGGCTGTGGTGGAGAGGAGGACACTGACCAAACTGTTATCCATCATGGATAACCCTGACCACTCTCTCCACCTCACTCTGGACAGACAGCAGAGCATCTTCTCCAACAGACTGTTGCAGCTCTGCTGTCGAAGGGACAGATACAGGAAATCTTTCCTGCCACAAGCAATAGCACTATTCAATAACTCACATCTGTCAGACAGAGACTCACATCTGTCTGCTGTATAGTCCATTTTTAAAAACTCCTAACACAACACATTACTGAGCACCTTAGATTGTTTGTTTAATTATCACCCCATCTATATATTTCGCATTTCATATTTATTACTCATATCATATTTATTACTCATTTTAATAGCCCACTTTTTTCATATCTCACTTTTTTCTCCTAGGATGTTTAGTATATTCAATCTGTATTGTATATATTTAGTATATTTATTCTGCATTTTCCCATCTATCTATCTATCTATCTATCTATCTATCTATCTATCTATGCAACTGTTAACAGGTATAAAACATTATAATACCTGACCTTGTAAGTCATGATAAAATGCCTAATAATGTGTTATGATTATTGCAATAAAGCATGATCATGTATGAGTGTTTATGACTATAGTTATACAGTGCTATAATGTGATTTTAGCGCATTATAAATATATCTATAATGAGTAATACAGATAGGCCTCAAAGAAAGTGTTACCGAACATTCATTGTCAATTTTGCCTGAAAGAACAATAACACTAGCTTACTTCTTAATGTCTAGCACAAAAAAGAGGATGTGGTACATTTACAGCCCATCAGTTGGGAAAAAAATAAAACTAAAAAATAAACAAAACAACTGAAAATCAAAGATGCAGCTCTGGAACATCTTGCATTTATCCGAGTCCCGGGGTTGTCATGTCATCCATCTGTATTCTGTATTTTGAACAGCACTATATGAGTGTACTTTTGGAAAATAAAATAACCTATTGCCTCAGCTACTGCAGTCAACAGGGACAAATTACCAACCAGTATGCACCACCTTTGTTGCTAGCTTGCCTCAGGTTTGCTGTTTATGCAGGTAACATTAACAGCAGCACTTTTTCATGCTGCAGAATGATGCCTCAAACCCCCTACAGACACAGGTCTTCAAATATATCCAACTCAATTTCAAGTTATACATGGGCACAGTAATAGTTAGCAGGTATAATTTGAAATTGCTACTTCATGTCAATTATTCAGCCCCTTTGAATAGCTTTAGGCTTTACTGAGGATTGCTGTTGATTGGAATTATTCTTGTGAAAAAAGCAGAGCAAAAATAGAGGCACGGAAATAGTGCCGAAAGTCACTCAAAGAGATGTATTAAAGCACAATGTTTCAAGAATTTGTTTTAGAACATCCACAAATTGAACACTTTGAAACACCTGTCAGCGTTTCAGAACTTCTGCCTCAGGGAATCAAACTCTCAGACTGGAGCTGAATTTTTGACATTAGAGGAACAGTGCTCAAAATTGTACAACTGGCAGCAGAGCAGGAAAAGAGAGGGATAAATGTGAGCAACAAACAGCATGATTTAAAAACAGCTTGTTGACAAATGCACAGCCTCAACCTTAGGCGTGTTTATCAGCTGTCACAACGCAATAAATTAGCATTTTTTTGCCAAATGTCATGTTTTAAACTATACTATAAAAGTTGACACTCTAACCTGCCATAAACTGTGAGCCGATCCTCACAAGTGAAGCATATACTGTTAAGAAGATTATTTTCAGGTGTTACGAATGAGTTATGAACTATGTTTCCTCTGATGCCTTTCCATATGATTGAGTTTCTCCAGCCCTGGTGCGTTCTGTGGGGAGCAGAGCATCATGGGGCTGCTTTGACAAGCTCATCCATCAGCACAGCATGTTCAAGTCCCCATCAAATGCCTGCACCGCTCCATAAAGTGGAGGAGGAGAGGTGTCACTCCCTAAACAGGATATATGGTCTCTCACTGAGACACAAATTAGACAGTAAATACATTACAGTGGAAGTAGCCTCTTCCACCGCAACATGTTTGTACTGCTGCTGTGCCAAAACCAACACTGCAGGGCTATTACAGGAGGCTGCACGCTTGCCAACAAGACATACACATTTGCATTAGATTACCCTGCACTTCACTCACATCACACCGGGGCATTAAAATAGTGACAGGTTTATTTTTAAAGGGGAGTCCAAAATAAATTAGTGATTCAATTCATAAAATTTTATCCCTGAAGTCAGTACACCTACTCATTTTCTGAGCTATTTTCAATTATATTATCATTACCACCTTGATATCTAAATAATATCACAAGCTTTTTCAGGTAGTTTTCAGGTACTTTGGAGGTACATTATCATTAATTTCAACCTTGGATGACCAATACTATTAAATTTTTTACAACATTGGAGGCACAGGTCCAAATCAAGCAGCAACCCTTTAAAGCCAATGCAGGTGTATAAAAACCCGCGATACCGCAAGTGTCCATGCAAGGCTGGCTTCAACGTAGGCTGTAAAAAACGTGTTTGCATCACCCATTGGTTTTTGAGTGGGTGTTTCGAAGCGGAACAATGAAGGTCCCCAAATGGAAGATGCTTACTCAACCAAATTTTGGATCAACCTAAACAAGACAAAGAGATGGAGCTGAGGAGCATAATCAATTATGCCTCTAATAACTAAATCTGTACAGAACTTTTAACCTCCACATCTTCAAATGGGTCATTGAAAAAATTCGCCCACCATATATATTGTATTTTTAAAGTGCAACACATCACAAAAATGACTTCAGGCAGTTACGAAAGCTCATTATCCCTCCTAAGTCAAAATGGATCCATTCATAAATAAATGTTATAAATATGTTTATGACGCATTATGAAAAGTAGGTTCATATATAGTGTCCCTAAACTAACTCTTCATTACCAATCCCAATACCTACTGTGTTTTTTCAAACTCTGTCCTCAATAACTAATGTATTTTAATTGAATTCAGGAATGGGTGAATTGACTGGCAGGTCCATTGAAACTTTTGCCAAGCCAGCTAAACAACTGCCAAATTGCCATATTTACACCTTGGCAAGAACCAATTAAACCTCCCTGCAATAACAATAGACACCAAGAAAAACTGGGACTAGTTACACAATGGCAAAGCAGTAACTAGACTTTATGAGACCCCTACACTGGTAAGCGAGAGGTACACCTAGGTGCCCAGAGTGAATCCCAAAGTTTATGTCGCAACCTCAACCACACCATGAATTATTTTGCCTTAACCTATTTTAACCCCACACTGGACAGGGGAGAAAATAGAGTCTGTTACATGCCTCTGCAAGACATGCAGTACTGCTGCACTGTGCATCTGTTTGAGATGCCAAGGAGGTCTGACAGAGCATCGATATTTGATGACCTGGGATGCACACATAGTACATAACTGCACAGTGCACACAAAAAAGACAGAGCTGTCACAGCATCCAGCACACTTTATTAATTTCCCCTCCCTCCTTCCATTTTTCTCCCCAGTTTGGTTTCACCAATTCCCACCAGTGCTTGTCTCGGCATATTCTACCATCCACTCAGATACAGATGATGTGGCCAACCCATTCTCTTTGCCACCACCGCTGAGCAGCTACAGCATGCACAAAAAAGTTGATATAATCCCCATGACTGCACTTCCTGCACCAACAGGAAGGAGCTGCTTTTCAAACAACAAAGACATGATCCCTCTTCATTTCCCCACAAGTGAACATTGTGTTTGTTGGATTGGCACAACCAAGCCAGGGGTACCCAAACTGGGGACTGAGCCTGAGTTTCTGAAGTGGAAGCGAGTGTTTTTCTCTGAGCCATCTGTGCACTCCAACCGGCTTTCAAGTACTCTGTACAATCCGGGACCATTAGGTAAGAAATCTATCATTATGTGTCATCCAAACAAAGCAGAAAAAAGACGTTTTATGCCTCAGACGGATACATGTGAAACATGTGAAAGGATTCATGGTTATATGCATTGAAAAGCAGAGCTCAGATTCTGCACAATGTGAGAAAAAGAAAAAAAAAAGGTACCATGGCCAGGAAGAGAAATGTTGTTATGGAGCTTAAAGATGAAAACCTGGGCAACTTGTCTTCTCTGTGTGATGTAACAGACTATTCAGTGCCCCATATGCCTGAATGTGTAGCTGGAAGGACACAAACCAGGCTCTCATGAATATGCATGTAAAAAAAGCAATTCAAACCAAACTTCATTCACTTGGAGAGCGCAGAAGTAGCAGCAAAATCAGAAATTTAAAAAAAAAGAGGTTTAACAAACCTTAGTGCACATAAATAGAGTTTAAAAAGTTTTTACAAATTCATCCGCTGTTGATAGGGAGAGTTCTCCAAAATACTGACACATTGAGCTGAATTAATTACAGCGGAACAGCCCACTGTGGGCCAAGTTTGAATCTCTCGAGGCAAAAGAGTTTGCCCCTTTCATCTCAGACACAATACCACAACTCCGCCTTGAGGCTGCCTCTGGTTTGGAAGTATTTATTTGCGTAAACAAATGCTCTCCGTGATGAGGTTTAACAATCATCTCTCAGGTCCTCCTGACAGACAAGCAAAAGGTATCTATTTTTTCAAAGGCGTCTGCTGTCTGACTACAATGTATTATTTCACTAACAGCTTTCACATTTTCACTGCCTTTGTTTTTCATCTGAGTGATCATAGTCCACTCTGTGCAATCAAACTAGAAGGGCAGCTGATGCACAATGAGTACTATCAAACACAAAAATAGCACAAAAAAAATCACAACAAAAAGGCAGACAGTTTTATTAAATCAATACAGAAAGGACAATAGGGAGGAAAGGGAGGCTTGCGTGGCTTAATTTACAAGGAAAGATACAGAAGTATCCAAATTAGACTGAATATTGACAGAGTGAAGCTGTGACTGTCAGAATGTGTAAAATGAGGGAAAGGTCAAAAACATGATTTGGGTGCACATGTTCGACAAAAGGTTAGTGACTGTGTCGGAATAGTTACAGGCTGTCAGTCTATAACAAAATAACTGGCCCACTGGAAATGTCACAAACAGAGTTTATTACCCTCTGATATTGGAAATGTGCAATCTACAGCAAAGGACAAACAGAGCAGGCCAGTCCAGTGTGGTTGCTTTGCTGTGGGGCAATAACCTCTGTATTCTAATCACCCATTAATCATCTCAATCTCAACAGTGCTTTGCAAAATTCAATTTCAGTAACTTCTATCAGGACTTTGCATCATGTGGACTGTCATTGGCATTATTACCTTTAATATTATTACTCCTATTCCACAGCTGTGTTGAATACAAATTCTATCTCCCTAATAGCTGTATATTTTTTAATCTGTGGCTGTATAAAGAACTTGATTCTGATAGGTCATTACTTAATAAACACCATAGCAACAGTCTGCTATTTCTTAATGGCAGAGTGTGACTATGGCAAGCACACTCTCATTTTAAGATTACTATGGATGTGCTAAAACTGTGAGCATAAGGGCTGTTTCAGACTGGCAGCATGCTTGCTGCAGCTTGCTCTGTCATTGTATTTTCACAGGCTGTGTGTTGTTGGCTGCATGATGGCTCTGTGTTGCCTGTTTGACGGCTGATTGAGTTGCTGCTGTCAGCCCTGTCTTACTTTATACATTACCCAGTAACAAGGCCATAAGGTTCCTAACACTAAAATTTTGGAGCTTTTGGATGTCATAAAGATTAGTACTATCAGGGAAAGTCAAAGAGGCGCATCCTCAACTGCTCTGTTACTTTCTCTATTCTGATACGTCAATTTCAGCTTCTCAGTCACACACTGGTTATGAATAACAGTCAGTAAAATGTAATGTCTGATTGTTTGAGAGAGAATAATAGAAAACAAACAAAATTAGCAGAGATAAAAACACAATAGGTGCTGGCTAATGCAGGGGAGTCAGCAGAGTTAAGGAGGGCAGTGGAAGTACACACTACACAGATAACAGTCTGGGATATAAGAGCATTTAAAAACTGATTTATAGAAAAGAAAATGTCAACAGACTTTGATGGTGATGAGGCAAAAAAACCCAGATGCAGCGGTAGTTGTTTGTACCATTTCACCAAAGTATACTTCCTCATCAGTGGTGTTGTCCAGAAAAAAAAAAATTGAATGAAAAGGAAATAGCTGAATTATAAGAGTCAAGAGTACAAGAGACTGGTTCTCTAGTAGAAGAAATGTAATCCTTTGAAATCAGCAGCCAGTGTTTTAAAGTCATATTATTGATTTATTAAGCAAATTGCTGTGAAGTAAGCAGAAAATATACAGTGAGTAGGTTGTTACAGCAGATGAACCTCTTGTGAATAGTAACCTCTGCAAAGCAGACTGCCACTTTGAGAAAAGCCCTTTGCTGGAAGAACAGCTGTGATCATATATAGCAATAAAATTATGTTTAAAGTCAGCACAACTAGCAGCTATAACTTAGCGAAAATACTCATGTTTTGTAAGACAACGTGAACCAATTCATGCAAATCACAAAAACACCTGATGTAAGTGCACAGAGTTGTAGACGTCTTCTTTTAGGTCTGCAGGCAATGTTGCATCCTATTTAGTGCTCTCTTTGGTGTTCACTTCTTGTGCCTGAATCAAATTATAGCGTATAACTCACTCACCTGCTTGCTGCCCTATGTTTACTTTCAGTTAACCCATGAAAATGGAACAAATTTACCAAACATTTACTGCAGGTGCTGTATGCATTTTCTAAGATGGACCTCCGAAGTCTGTGGTTGAATCTGTTTTCCCATGAACAGTCAGTTTGTTCTCGTCAGTGGTCTTCTGTAAAGAAATAGCAGACCAATGAATGTGTAAATTGGCCAATCAGCATTGAGTATTCAACACCGCAGCATAATAATCTGCTAACAACAGGCTGTTCATTTTGCATTTCCCCTTACATGTCAAGTTAACGCTCCTGTGCCTCAGGCCTAATTGACAGAGTATGTACTACAAAGAAAGACAGGAAATGGTTTTGACAGAAATATGTAATCTACCCATGAAAGCGAGTATTTAAGTAGTTACCTTTTGGTGGCTCAGGATGACTTTGCTCCAGGATTATAGCTTTGACAGGCCAGCGGGGCGAATGAAAAATTGACAGGTGACAAGTAGCGTGACAGGCTGATGGGAAAGAGAATAGACTGTAACTTTATTAGTGCCAGCCATCAATCAATTTGAGCAAAGTTTTACAGACATCTTTATGAGGGGACAGTCATCATGGCCTTAGTTCAACAATTCATCAAACTTATTGGTCTATATGCAGCTGGCCTCTCTCATGTACAGGGCACCTGGGTGCATCTCATTACAGCATCTGAGTCATTTAAACATGTTGGTTCGGTATTTTATTTCAAATTATTGTTATTATTATCATTATTATTGTTATTATTGTGTTTATCATAATGATATATTATTATTATTATTATTATTATTATTATTATTATTATTATTATTATTACTATAGGAAACCTAATGGAGGCTAAGGGCTAAGTAGCCAGCTTCAGCACACTGAAATAAACGAAAAGTCATTAGGACATAGTTGTTGCAAAATTTTATTCTGTCACTTAAAAAAGTGCCTCCTAAAAAGCAGAACTATTCAAGTAAGCCCTGTATTCTAAATGTTTTCACCTTCTCTCCTTTTCTGCAAGACAACCTTTAGCATACAACATTATGTTCTTTAACTTTAAAAAACAAGGCCCTGCATATCTATGCATCAAAACAGGTATTCAGTTTGGCAGGTATGCAGAAACAAAAAAATACAACAATAAAACAATGTTTTGGAAACAACAAAATGTCTAAATAAAGCGTTATCTCCTTTATCTACTAGAGAACACAGAGAGAAACCTATTTTGCGGAGTAAGCAGAGAAAAGGAAAGGTTGGGGTTGTTTGGCTGGTTGTTTCATGCATTCATTTTAGCTTTCCTGATAGATGAGTATAGCAGCGAGTCTCTTTAGCACGAGTCAACATAAACCTCTGCTGAATAGTGATCAGTTCAGACAGAGTTGTCTCTCTGGTTGCTCCTGAGTGTTGATGTTTATAGTCAGCGGTAGCAACAGCTGTATAAAGTCAACACTTCTGAACAGAAAACATAAAAATCTTCATAGTAAAGTCAGGAAACAAAAACATGAGCATGTACACTCTTCAAAATCGTTCAGGAGTGAAGCTCACCTTACCTTGTCATCTTTGGGGTTACAGGATGTGCTGCTGACAGCCTGATAAAGGGATTAAAACACCCAGAGATGAAGCATAAACTGGAAAATGATATTAAGTCCCTTCCGGCTGGGTTTTTAGAAATGGCTATGGGACATTTTTCTCCAAACCTCAACCAAGACAGTGGTTATCTTTCATGTTGGCTCGCTTTCCGCAATGATGCCCAGACTGACTGAAATCTACTAAAATGTTCCTGTGGGTAGCTTTCTGATGGAAAATCTTTTCCTGCTTTGTTTTAAGAGTCAAACATACCCATTAACATGAATATTTGTTTCAGAAAATGTGAACAGCTGTTTCCTCAGTCTGTTTTTTTATTGACCCGTCTGACACCCCGCCTGGCTGTTTTTACCAGTTACAACAAGCTAATCACTGTTTGGTGTTACTTTTTACACAGCTTTGCACTGATGAAATGACCAAAAAGTTATGCTTTAACAGAAACAGGCTGGCCATTAGCTCCCCATTAAAGCTATTAGCAGTTAGCTGTTGTTATGTTGCTGGCTGCTATAATGTTACTTAGAGTTTGTGATTGTGAGCCAACTCAGAGGGTCTTTATAGATAGAACAGCATGTTTCGGTAATAGCTGGGACGTGAATCCAGCGTGTACTGGCTTTTTCTTACAAAGCAGTCATCAGTGAGGTAGCAGCTATGCTGTGGCTGTTGTCCCAAAAAATAGGAAAAAACTTCTCACTGTTTTCTGGCATCATTGCCTTTGGAAAGAGAAAAAAAGGCTGTAAAATTATGTATCTAGATGCTTGGCTGTTGTGCATTTACTTGCCTGATTTTCTTGAATAACTTGCTCTTTTTGTGGGTATCGTATGTGCAGGAGTTTCCAAAGGCATGTGATTGCAAGAAAAGAGAGGTCCCTCCATGTCATGTTGGTAGGGCTCTTAAGTCTCAAGCATTTGGCATGTGATGCAGGCATTTCCACTATCATATGCTCACACGCCACACATTGTATTTCTCACGCATTTAAATTACCACAGTGACGTCCACCAAGTTGCACTTCTTTAACAATGGAACAGGTAGGAATCAAGTCAGTTCCCCTGAGAGTTAAGAAGCTGCGTGCCACGCTCAAACTAATCAAATAAAATTTATGTACGGAACAGCCGATCATTAAGTAGAATTGCTGTATTCAGGTAGATTTTAAAAATGGACACTCGCTGAAATGAAGCAGGTTTCATAAGCACAAAAAAATACCCAATGATTACAGTAAGTCAGTAACCTACAGTTGCAGAGTCCTTAACACCTCATGGCATATAGACTTAAAAGATGAACTAAAGCCCTATGCTATTGCTATTAACAGCTGCACTGACAGATTTAGCCTTTGTACAGCCAGTTACAGACTGACCACACTGTGAGTATATGTTGGGTTTAAACAGTTTACCAGATGATCAAACCTCCTCGCTCACTTGCCTCAAAGCTATCTTTTTTTGATTCCCCACTGAATATGAAAAATGAGTTGTAACTGTGTACCTTTACAATTGGTCTATTCTCCATTTTCAGACAAATGAATCACTGCTCTGCCAGTCCACTGTTTGCAAATATCACAAGGGAATTTCCATGCTGTTTGGCAATTGCACACTGTTGATTTGCTTGAGTTCTTATTTTTGGTACACTGTGATGTAAATTTGCATCATTTGTGTGTATAGTCCCATCAATTTTCACATCTCCCTACAATATTGTAATTATGCCATTGTTTGTTACTGTTTTATGATTTTATTTGGATGTTTATGATTGTATTTTAACATTTTTTAACTGTTAAGCACTCTATGAATCTTTTCTATGAGAGGTGCTATAATAAATACAGTTTACTTACTACACAACTTGTGCATCTTACAACAGGAATGCAGAAGCAGGACAGACACAGAAGATATGGAATATGATATTTATAAGTCAAAGTTAGTGTATAGTCAGGAAAAATATCCAACTCATTTTGGCAATGGAGAATGAGCCTCTTATATCTACATTAGGAGCAGGTCCACAGCCACAGTGACTGCCATCTTGCACCACCCTGCTACTACATGAGCACAGACCAGATAACCAATTCGCCATAAGCACCTTTGTGTTAAGTTGGTTGTCACTGGATTGCACTGGCAGAGAGCTGAAGATGAGAGTGATTATTGTGCACAAAATAATTAATATGTGTGGTTTTGACAGTGAAAAGATGTCAAATGAAGGATCATATTTATACTGCATCAGAGGAGTTTCTTCTCCTCGAGGGCCGCCATTGTTTTACTGGTAAGCGGGTGAGCAAGGTTACGTTTTAATCTAGAACTGGCGGCTGGATGTTGCTAAAAATTCCCATTTCTAAACACAGTAGCCTTAAAATACAAAATACACGGAAAGAAAATCAGATTTAATAGTGAAAAATGTGACGTCAATAGCAGACAGGTCCTTATTTTTAGCCATCTAAAATAGATGTTAACTGCTTATATTTGTAGTTGGCCGTCAAAGGCGATTGTAACAAACTAAAACATGAACAAAGAGTTTGTTCTATTCGCGGTAGCAGATGCATGTCAGCGCACTTGTTTGAAGACATAAAGAGTCCACTTGTTACGTATAATTAGACTTTGTGATGTGAATACACATTTTCACTGCAGAGACAAAGGAAAGATTTGAAGAGCAGAAAACATAAAGGAAGAGGCGCTCTTCAAAGGAATAAAATATGCAGCGATACAATAACTGTTGCAAATATTGACGTGGTTTAGTTTGTGATTTTGCTCTGTTTATCTTCCCTTGTATTTGCTATTGATTTTTTTTTTTTTTTTTTTTACTTGAGTGTCTGTGTTGTTGTCTTTTCTGTCTTTTTTTCTCTTTTTGCAGTGAGGTCAGTCCCACAGAGACCTGTTACCACCTCCTCTCGTAAAAACACATATATATTTAAGTTCAAGGCAGAAGCATTATGTTATCCAGTGAAAACCTTGTTCCAGGCCCCAAGCTTCACTTGTTTTGTTTTGGTGAAATCCATTCATGTGCCAATGAAATCTTCATACAATATCATACCAAGGTGTCATCTCCCTACTAATTTACTTGCACCCATTATTGTCAAAAAAGCACACAAAAAATAGCACACCCTGCACTGATCAGATTGCAATTTTCCACCTTTGGAATACAGTTTTGTCTTGGGATCACTTTGACATAAGTAATTTGTTTGAGGCACGGCTACAATTTTCTTAACTACTCTCACAGAACCATAGGAGACTGTTTGTTACAATGCTGGAAGACACAGACTGATGATATGCAACCTGCTCTGCCTCCTCCGTTCTCTCGCTCTCTCTCTCTGCATCCCCTCCGGCTACATCAACAACACGCCAACATGCAAAAACGAACGGGGAAAGGGCCATTTTAGCTTTAGCCCTCTGACAGTGTGACAGACCTCCAGCTAGAACATTTCATTACAGAGCAACAAACATCGTATTTCTACTTCAAACTGCAAGTGGAAATTTCAAGAAAATAAATAAAACTTGACAAACACTCTGCACAAAAACATGTTGTAGGGCTGTGCAGGAATTTTTAGTATCACTTATCAAAAGTGAATGCAAAAAATATATTCTTACTTAGTTTTAACTCTGTGCTTATTACAGCAGTGGGTGCTGCAGTAGTGGGCGTCACTTTTCCCTGTTAAAATTCACTGACTTTCAAAGTTCTTCTCTCCTTTTTATTGGGATCACAGTTATTTGGCACAAATATGTGTTCTTAAACATTTTAGTGGATATTTTTGTTCTATTCAGGGCTGCTTTTGCAGAAAGCAGCTATTCACTCTTGATACGAATCTCATTTTGGCAGAGAAGCAGCACAGCTTTGCATGATTGGCTGTATTGCTGTCCTCTCACACTCCCACAGACATGCATTTGATTTGTCACCAGCATCCAAAGTCTTATCTAAACACTGCGAAGAATCTCTGAGTAAATGTCCCCGTTGGCACACTTCAGCAGCCCAGAAACTAGCTATTCTGCAGAAAAATAAATAAATAAATAAATAACAAGGATATTCTAAGTACCTTTTTTTGTTAAAACGCAGAGAGATTAGGATGTGCAGCAAAAATAAAAAAAAAAGAATAAATGATGAGAAGTTGGTTTGGCACATAAAAACACATGCAGACTGTGCAACATTATTACAGAGATAAGACGACTGTGGGAAGTTTTCTCTTTTTTCTATTCAATCTTTCCTTGTGAGCAGAGAATGAAAGAAAACAGGCAAAACTTAAGTAATTGGCTTCAGAAGTTGCTGCGTTCGTGTCCTCCGTTTCTGGGATGAGAGTGGGAAACCTGCCATGCCTGTCAAATCTCCTTGACTGTTACTGTGATTGCTGAAGAGTTCAGAAATGGCCTCCATCTTGGACATGTAGAGGGGGAAATACAGGTTAAGTCGTGTGTGAAAGACCGTCTCGTTATGAAAGTGAAGTGTGTCATGTGGGCAACTAACAAATTGACTTTTTTAAATTCGTTTTTTTAGATGTTGCGGTGTTAAATTGTCAAATTGAATTTCCAAATCCACTAATTATGGTAATCGATGAATTCTGGGCATCAGACTGTATATCCCTGCACTCATTTTGAGCTTGATGTTACAGACAGGGTAAAACATATTAGCGAAGAAGCCTTCCCAATAACACCCCATATCTTTTCTCTGAAGATGAGATGATGAGTTTCATAGCCCCTGCACATGGCACCTAACGGCCCCCCACAATCCAGACATGAAGGTAAGGATAGATGGGCAGCGAGAGACAGCACATCGCCAAGGCCGTTGAGTGGGCACTTTTCTTCACCTGTGTTTCATCAAGTTAGGCCCACGACTTCTCTGGGAGTCTCAACAGTTACCTCTAGCATCCAAGGACTGCCTGCCCACCCCCTTACCCACACTTGAACAAAAAAAGAAGAGAGGAGAAAAACAGAGAAAGGAGTCAGTGGGGAGGTGTTGGAAAAAGGAGGGAAGGAAAAGCCCTGATTGGGCTGAGGCTGGGGCTCAAATCTCAGCTTCTCCTCTCCTCCCATTTTCGAGAGGGGGGAGGGTAAAAGAAAGAGGACAGGGAAAGCAGAGCCAGGGGGAAAAGCCTATCTGGACTTAACTCAACCTCGCTAGGTTGGGCTGAACACTCTACCTCACCCTAATAAACCTGCTTGAACCAACATTTGTAACATGGCCACCCTGAAAACCTGACTTTTGCTCTTGATTAGATTGTACTAATAGAAATGTACCATGCATCTAACAAGATTTAGTTTGTGGTTGAAAAGTCCTAAATCAGAAGAAGCACTGTATGGTGGGACAAGCAGACATATTTGTATGTATGATCTGTCACGAAAGATTAATTAGGTACATTTATTCATTTTCCTGCTCCTAATAGGATTCCGGTTTAACAAGAAGCTAAATGAATGCAGAGTTGATTGGTAGAAAGCAAAAGCAGAAAGTTTTGGGGAAAAAAAAAACAGTTGTCTGAGACCAACAACTCAAACTCTCTAAAGGAAATTGAACTTGAAATGTTTATTTTCAAACATGAGAGAAAGAAAGTGATCATACAGTTTCAGACAGACTTAAAAAAATACATACAAAAAAGGAACACTAAATATAGATGCACACGTTGTTTTGTGAAAATACAGGATTGTTGGGTACTTGTAGTTTCTCCATGTCCTCAGGGGGACATGCTAAGATTGTATGTATATGTATGTATGTTTATTTTAGTTGTTGACCCAGTAAGTAATCAATCAATACTTAAAATGGATAAGATTGAGAAATATTGGATCTGTGCGAGTTGTTACACCACTCATGGAGAAGAGATCTGATGATTTGACTTAATTAACTTTTTCTTCACAATGTTTCTTTTGGATAAAATAACCAAAAATAAAAAGTTTAGAAAAAAAGAGCAAGCAGATTAGTCACACCACACAGATGAAAGATTCAATTATAATTTCCTCACATGGTTTTTGTCATTACAGCAGGATTTTTCAGGCAGATTTTCGAGTTGTGTTTTCTCATTGTAGGAAGATGTTTTTGTCTGTCATTCTGCTCACCAAGCATGTGTTTGCGTTTAAGGACATTTTGCTCATTTTAAAAAAACTTTCAGGGTGGATAACAAGACAAGGAAATCCAAACAGCGAGCCATAATCCTACTATAACAATAGCAGGTATTGTGGAGAAATCTCTTTAACTAAACCCACACTTCAAAAGTGTCTTAAGATTTCCTTAAATACTGTGTAATGAGTGATCGTCCTTGTGTTGCACCAATGCCAAGCACACAGAACTTGAAAATTCTGGTGAACAATTCCAGAGATACTTGTAATCAGCTGAGTCCTGATTTCCCCAAACTGATTAGCTGCTGCCATTCAGTGTTTGGCAAGCCGAGTCCCCAACTGTTCAACTGTCAGAGCTGAAGCTCATATTGACTTTTTTTTCTGACTTTGTCTTCACCAGAAAGCCTCCAAATGTTTTTTAAGAAAGTTCTATTAGAGCAACTTATCCTTGGAGAAAGAGGCATGAGCAGGAACTGAAGCTCGATACATTAGGCAGCAAAAAAAAATCAATCTGTCTTCAATGTTCAATAAATCCTGTGGGAGGAAATTTAAAGTTAAATTCTGCTCTTGGCAGCCAGATAGACTACATCTACTTCCTTGAGATACTTGCTGCTCAGCAGGAGATAAACAGCCAGGCTAGAGGACATGAGCAGATGCTGCTGCCTGACATTACATCCTGACTCCCCCATCCACAGCCACCCCCTACCATGCCCCCTACACCTCCACAGCATGACGCACAAACCCAGAGAGATTCATGTCATCCTCCAAAATAAGCCCCTAAAAGTGAAAGGCTCAGACAGGGATTTATCTCGTAGCTGAGGTGCAATCAGTGGATTTGATACTGCCTTTGAGGTAAAGCTGTAAACAAATAATTCATTAACACTTTTTGTATTAAGGCACGCACATTCATAACGAGCCATATTTTTATTGTAATGCATACTAATAGTTGATATCTCTAAAGGAAAGTCACACTTAAGGGTACGCTGTTTTACTGAATAATCGTCACAATCGCAGCTGTGCCAACATTCAGTATAACAGCATAGTCCTAAAGGCTCTTTTATGCTCAGTGTTACATACGGATACAGACGGAGTTCTCCGTCTGTGCCTCGTGTTCTTTTCGTCTGTATTTCTGCACGTATCCTTGAAGTTTGCAGATACCGGCCAGATGGAGCAGTACCAGTGTTGTTTTCGTTGACGACGACGTTGACGAAAATATTTTGTCTACATCATCGTCATCGAAAACAACACAGCAGAATATATGTTTAGCGTTTGACTGATGAAATGCTTATGAATTTTGTTCTGTTCATCGTCCACCACTAAAGTTTTCATCTAGTCTTGCCTCGTCAACGTAAACGCACATTCGTCTCATCACATTTTAGTCATCTAAGACTTATGTTTAGCTTGTCAACATCACATCTTCGTCGTGGAAAAAAGGGGCGTTGACGAAAACAACACCGAGCAGTACCACCGGAAACCGTGTTGCTGCTCTACCCAATACACATATCTACAGACAAACGAAGAGAACGGGGATTTCTCATTGATACTACAAGAGAAAAGAACTCTTTATCCTCAAACTGCGAGGCATTCAGTGGCCCAACCGACTACCGCCTCCTCCAATGCTGCCTCTGTTTCTGTCTCCTATGCAAAATTTACAGTATTACTAACTCCTCCACGGTCGCCATGTTTCGTTTTGTTTGTTGTGTCAAAACCTTTTGACTCGGGCCTCCCTCCTGGTGGATGTAATGGTAAACATCCATGCCAACGTAAAGGAAGCATGGAAGTATGTGTGCAGTGACAGAATCATTGTTTGAAACAGACACGTACATTTTCATACAAATGGCAAGAAAAGATGGGCCTTAACAGTACTACTGCAGTTCTAAAAGCAGAACTCAACAAAAATAAACAACTTCCACTTATAAGTTTGGATTAATCAATGATTCACTTTGCAATACCAACGCAGTTACAACTGTGTCCTGACTGGAAGTGTGGGCTGCTGCCAAGCAACCCACGAACATTTCCCTCTGCGTCTGCTACTTTGTGTTTCTGTTCTCACTGCATATGTATGTTTTGATTAAAAGCTATTTGAAGAGGACAATTTAGTGTCAAGAATCATTATCTGTACAACAATTACTCAGTTCATTGCTATTAGTTTGACATTAATTGCCATATGCAGAGCACCAAAGTGGAGTGATAGCTTATCTATTGTTATAAGTCCTTTTGCCCAATCATCACCTCAATAAAGTTACTCGTGTTACGACCTAGGTGGAAGTCTTATCCTTGTTTTAACCCTTCTTCCTTGCTGCCTAAGTTTCATGTTGCAGGTAATGGGGGAGGAGTCTATAATCAATGCAGCACACCTGAGCAGGCTGGGTTCAGAAGGCTATAAAGCAGCCCTGCTTACTAAGCTCTCTCTCTTTCTCGCTCTCTCTTTCCATGTCCTGCCGATTAATACTGCCTCTTTGTTTGTAGATTTTGCTTTGCTGACTCATACACCTACACTCACACATCCAACACTGCATGCACACTGACAACCATATTCATAATTTTGTGATACTCATTTACGTATTTCATTGAATATTATTTTATAAACTTTGCAACCATATGTTGTCTCCCTCTTAGAGCCAGGTTGTGACACTTGGGTGGGACAACAATAACTTCAAAGCATCATATCCTGCATGATAACATCATTTGACAACAATAGGAAATTTAGTGACGGTTTGTTTTTTGACATTAAGAAAGTCGTCTTTTCCTGCAGCCAACAAGTCTTGCAAGACCGCATTAAAAAGCGCTCCATAATGGTTTATTGCACAGTTACGGTAATAATTTCATTGTGAGTGGTGAAAACCTCATTATAATTTTGTACAATTTGTCCTCAACAAAGTTTCAACCCCACACAGCACAACAAACAAACAATCTTTGGAAAAGAGTCCTGCACACATATATGAAGTTTATGACTTCAGCTTTTCCTGACAAAATGTTAGTTCATGAAAGCAACAATATGGAGCTGTTGTTTTTCTATATAACTCTAATTTTATTTGGACAGCTCAAAACTTTCGCCTCATGGCTGACAAGTTAGCTGCAGATAAAAAAAGTCAATAAGAGAGAGAAAACAAAACAGAAGCTAAAGAGGGATGTTAAAACACACAGGGGTCAGTATCTGAGTGAAAGAGAAGTCAACCAAACAGACACAAAACAACCACAAACCACAACACGGTATGAGTTTTGGCAGTGTTAAGGAGTATTCAGTAAAGAGAAAATGCCAGTGTAAAAGTTACCAAGATGAACTTTATCAAGGGGCTACTGTTACCTTCTGCATCTGCATATAATGCCGATGGATGATCACAAATGTTTTGAGTTTACTTTGGATGAAAAAGTCGAGTTTAATTGGAGGATGTATTGGAAATACAGTCAGAGGGACTAATTATTCAAACTGTATTAATTAATTTTTAGACCATTTAAATAATCTTCAAGCCATTACTTGGTGTCAACCTGCATAAAGTATTAAAGGATCATCACATCCTGGTCTTGTCTCACCCTGTCAGGGTACTCTTTTAACATAACCACCCACTCTCTTACTGAGCACTCCTGGGAGGAATTTCCTGTTTGCACCAATTTTGGCGCCCCCTGTGGACAAAACAACACCTCTTATCTCATTGCAGATTTTGTTGTGAGCATGCCTAAGTGGTGTTTTTTTAAAGAAAAATCTCATCCTGTTTTTTTTTAACAGCCAATTATATCATTCACAGTGAATATGGGCTGTGGTTTAAAGAAAAAAAAAACAAGGCTGTTTCTTCAGCATGTTGTCTCACACCTATCCTCTCACAGCTGTTTCAGGCATTAAAAATAATAAGATAGTGATTGTCATCATCGTCATGGAGAGCCTTGTCTGTTAAATAACCAGATAAAAAACCCTCTATGTGTTATCAATTAAAGGGGAGTAAAGACACCTTGTGGAAAAATGCATTTTTGAAACACTATGATTGTTGAAAAGTATCTCTATAAAGATGCTATTTTACAGAATCAAATCTTAAATGGTGCTTGCAATGCCTCCTTAAGTATCCAAATTTCATAGTATGGTTTTTTTCATGCACAAACAAAAAAAGAAGACTATTATTAAGAAACAAGAGTTCTGCCTCATTGTATCACTCTGTAACTTTTTGATAACAAAGCACAGTGATTAGAGACATGCAAATTTGTAAATGCATAATGTTGTAGGACTCTTCACATTCTGATTATCACACAGAGGTAAATCTAGCGCAGACTCTGCTGCAGCATTTATAAGAAGCTTTGATTGTAAATGTCCCTGTTACCCTGCCCTAGTCAGAAGACATATTTACAATTACAGAATTTCTCAACATGTAATATTGAAAGAAAAATATATCTCACATTCACTCTGTTGTTGTGCAAGCTGCACAACAGGGACAGACTATGGAGAAGATGAGATGATGCTCTAGCTTTCCTCATTGAACAGATTTGTGTCCCATATGTGTAGGGCAACAAAAGAGTGGCCCCGCGAGAGGCCAGCAGTATTTCAGCGGTGATACAGGAAGCAGACGAGATGCTGAGATCTTAAACATCTAAAGGAATGGGCTCAGCTCCAAAACAGAGCTTTGGAGCTACGGGGAGGAAGTAAACAAGAAGGAAACTTAGGTGGGAACTGAGGTGAGAGATGTGTTGAAGGAGCAGATTGAATGCTTAACGGGAGTCGGGGAAAGAGAGAGTGATACTCAATTAAATGTTTTTAATTTACTTATAACGTAGATGCAGGAGAAGAGAAGAAGTGAGTTTATTTAGTAGGAAGAAAGAAGAAAGGGAGCGAGTGAGACCTTTATTTGACGAGTACTAGACACACGAGGTGAGAGGAAGAATGAGAGACCTTTAATTAGACAAGATCGACAGTGAGAGGTTGTGAAGTCCAATTAGGTGTGTTTGAAAAAAGTGCTTCTGAAAGTGAGATCACTCAACTGAATGAGAGACTTCATTATAGCTGAAAGAAAGCCAGAGATGGAGGGTGTATTTTTTGGAATCGCTAAGGGCGACATTTAAGATAACAAGCGATTAGTTCTTTTGTCTGTTTCATTAACGAATGAATTTCCTGTCAATTTAATTTTCATGATACCGAGGGCCTTAATTTTGTGGCTGAGCAGATCCAGCTCAGTGACCTTGTAAAGTGACAGTTTGAATGAGCAGGTATTTTCCTCCCTGCACCAAACTGGTAATTTAATAGCTCTCTATGACATCAGCGGTAGCAAAACATGGAGGGAAGCACACTTAAGGGAAATATCGATACAAATCTGCCAATTTGGCATTGAACATCACTCCGTCTGTCCAGGGCTCTCTGTTGCCTTTGCACAATAGCTGCAATTTTCTGCTGATTCTCTGGCTTTGCTGGTAAAGGTACAACAACAGCTGTAAAATCAACATAAAACCATCACCTGTCTCTGTTCCAGTACACACACTCATCATCAAAACACTTTAAAGTCTTCAACCCCTTTAGATCTAGATTTTCTTTTGACTTGTAAGGGTTTTTAAAAAAGGATCAAACATCCTCTCCCTTTCATTTTGCACGATTGTAGAAGCTGAATTATAAGTTGCACTGGTATAAAGACGAAGTCTGTTTTGGGAGAAAAAGTTAAATTGGCCTCTTGCATATACGCCCACTGCATTCAGTAATGTGCAGTTTCATGCCAGTGTGTGGCTCTATCTGATTTGAACAACCTGCCAGCCACTAGAACAGTGGTTGAGTCTACAGGGGTATTTTTAATTGTGGGGTACTCTTGGGTCAAGTCACTAAGACCTTTGCCGACCACCTCCTCTGGTCTCTTTTTGTCTGCTATTAAAGAGTCTTTTCATTGTATGTCAGTCAGCTACCCTTGAAATTAGTTGAGTTTATTCGCTTCCTTCATCCCAGGCTCTGCAGTGTGACAATTACGCACACATTTATATCAATGACAATGCTCAAATGATATATCGTGCAGACCTATTTACATGAGTTTCATATTTAAGTGCTGCTCTAAGTCACTACATTCAGTTATATTCATGCATATTGACTACTGCAGTGGTTCCCAAGGTAGACTCAGGACCCCTTGCCCAAGTGGTCAAGATCCCTTTTAAAGAAAAAAAAAGTATCTTTTTAATATGTAAAAAAAAGCCCTGGATAATTGTGACAGACAAAGAAAAGCATCAGTAACTACAAGTTAATTTACAGAAGCACAGGAAACTCACTGGATCTCTGTCCAAAAGGGTTGACAGTTTTCAGCAAAAAACCCTTTTCATATCACTACTGTAACAGCCCCCTAAATATCAAGCTGTTAAGCTTCGGCAATTTCCATAGGTTTAAAATTACCTGTATGACATATAAAGTTCTCCATGGGCTTGCACCACCTCCACTAAATTATTACATCAATTAGAAAGCAATCAGTGGCTCTTCAGCGGGGTTCACAAGAGCCACTGATAGAGGTGATGAAGTACCCTATAAATGTTATGCCTTTGGCCAAAATGTTGCCTTGTTCAAAGGGAACACATTATGAAGCAGACCACCCCTCTCTGTCAGGCAATACTCTATAGCTTAACAACTTTAACAGATCCTCTGGAGGCGTCGCTCAGAACACAGCAGATTTGTGACAAGGTCTAAGCAGACACCAGTAAGCACACATACACAGATATATGTTTGCAACTCAAATGCAATATTGTATATGTAAACCCATTTATGCTGTTCCTGAGCAGTCGTATAAGTATTAACTTACCTGCATATACCAGTTATGTGCAACAGATCTATGTAGATTTATGAACAACAGCACCTTGGATTAACATGCGTACTTAACTTAGACACCTTTACTTTCACACGCAACACACCAACATACGCTGTTTAAGCCGAGCGTCATCACAGCGACTCTCGGGCAACTCTCCCGCCAAATGCATACAATGCTACTGCGCAAGTGGTGTAGTGCATACAATGCTACTGCACAAGTGGTGTAGTGCATACAACGCTACCGCGCTATGTTGGTTTCAGGAAATAGAGAAAAATCACAGAGATACAGAGAGCTTTTTGGTTTTAAATCCATACACTGGCAGAAGGTGGAACCAAGTTGTCCATATACAGTCTATGACTTTAACACTCGGGCACCTCCCACAAAGCTCTTTTGAGGGAAGATTTTGATTGGGTTTTAACAGAGGCAAACAAGACTGCTAATGAAAACATTGTAATTCCTAATGCATGTAACTGCTTTGAGAGGGTGGGTATATTCATAGAAAACAGTCTTGCTGACTTTCCACCAACAATGTGATAAATTTCAATCTAAAAAGACAACAGGAGATTTTTCATCAATTAACAACAATTTCACAAAGATGTGTTTGTTTTTCCATGCACATGCTTGATGCACATTGATAAATATTTACCACCAACCTGCTGAGGGCCACTGATAGAAAAAAAGCCCATGGATACAATCTGGTGCATTTACATGCCCAAGTTCATCAACGTGCACTGACCCTTGTAATTAGTCGATAACTACATAAGTAAATGCGTAATTAAATCAACCATAGACTGTTTACTGCAGCAGTACACAGCACAAATAACGTTATTTTGAAGTCGTCAGCTTTTACCGACTCCCGAGGAAAATATCCAACTCTTTATCCTCTTTAAACACCAAGAGGATGCCATCTGTAGACAAAACCGGGGCCCAACTCTTTTAGTGGATCACAAGGATCATAATTACCTGACAACTAAACCGGTGACCTAAAGGCTGGTAAAAAGCTACTCTGAGCTGCAGTCTGGTCACCACAAATGAAACCTTTCACAACTCATTAAAGTGTGGAATAATATTGCTGCTGAGCTTCCATCTGAGGATTTTTACATTATATTAAATCCACTGAATACAAAACTTCCATTATCCATAACTGATGCAAAAGCTGACACTGTATATTAGGGTGCACATTCACCATCAGTCTGTTTCCTCAATAGCATACTAATCATCAAGAGATGATGTGATACAAAATAATTAAATGGCTCCTGTGGTGAAGTGTTGGAAGAGAATCACAGGTCTTTTACCCACAACTCCTCTTTTCAACCACATGTGAATGCAACAATTCACAACCCTTCCCCCTTATTTGGCAGTGAGGGAGCTGTGCCTGTACAAGCTAGATATATTTGGATCCCAGCTGTCTTGGATGAATTTTGATTATTGGGTGACTATGTTTTTACTGTGTTAATATCAACTTTTCCAAATGCAATTTGACTTTAAATGTCAAATGCAATTTGTGGTTTGCAAGACAATTAACAGTATAGCACTGTACTATTGCCAAGGTCAGACTACACAGTGTTTTTGTCTGTTCCCATGGTCACTGTGACAGATCTCTTTGTCATAAATCTGCGCAGTGACATAGGGACAGATATGACAGACTACATAGTTGTACCCAATCAATGATCATGACTGATGTGTTGATGTTGGGAGGAAGGAGAGCTGTGGAAGAGACCTGGGGAAAAGACTGTAAAAAATGGTGTCCGCAGCTTTGTCTATTAAACCTGCTGTGTTGTGTTTGGAAAAGCCCCCCAAAATATTGTGGACACTTTTTTTGGTTGGGAGAAGACCTCAGTTTTATTGTTTAACCATTTTGTCTGTTTATGCTGATGTCTTTAACCCCTGCAGAGCGCTCTGTGCTCTCTGTATATATACAGTATACATACTAGGGCTGGGTGATATGGGAAAAAGTTTGTCACAATATATTTTTTTCATATCAGGTGATATCGGTATAAAATGAAATTTAACAGTGCTTATTGGTAGCATGTCTTTTCCAATACAATAAGCTCCTGCATCTGTGAGTCTTTTTGTCTCTTAGACGTTTTGTTGTTGTAGGGCATTGCGCTAGAAAAAGCAAACTGAATCGTCGGCTGTTTCTGCTGCATAGGCGCCATGGGCTTCTTGGTCCACTCAGGGTTTGTAACCTTTAACCGCATTATGCATGCTCTACCGCATGGCACTGCTACAGGTAGTGAAAAAGATTTGAGGTACTCCCCAACTTTGCAAGAACATGTACTCCACATAATTTGCAGTGCACATTACTCTCCTTCATGTCTGACCTCAAAAAACCAAAATACCTCCACAACACAAGACGTTTTCATGCCAGTGTTGTTGACGATGTCGTCATCTGTTGAGCCTTCATCTGCATTTCTGCTGGGGGGTAGCACTCATTTTCTTTTTTTCTTATCAACAGTGCTGTCAGCTTCACGTGTTAAAGTGCTATGGTTGCCTGTAGCTGCAGCCTGCTACTACGCAGTTGTTAGCTACTTGGTTTTAATTCAGCACGATTGGTTAAGCGCAAAGCAACTCCCCTTTTCATTGGCTATTCGTATAGTCTACCAAAACATGGCAGAATGCTGACTATCAAAAAGCATATTGACCATGTTTTATATTGGTATTGAGGGAAATTCATTTTTGATATATATCGTTATCATGTTATCGCCCAGCCCTAATACATACCCATTTATTTTGTCTTAGTTTTTATAATTTCAACCGCTATCATCACAGCTGACAATGTTCTGTTGAAAAGCAAACCTAAATATTTTCTTGCTCAAGTGCTTCTTTGTATTTCGAAACTAAATCAATGTTCTTAGAGGTGCTGGAAAGCTTCTTAGAGCTGCAGCCTGGCTACCACAAATGATTTCTTCACATTACATAGACATCTGATCCATTGTTGTAATAAAACTATTGATTAAAGACACTTGAAACTCACGTCCAGCTGACTATAAATGCTGTCTGATCAGTGGTCTTTTATCAAAGTTAAGCACTGATGGGTTTGCTTGCACATAGAAATTGAGTATTCATATGTTACACTTAGACTCCACTGAAAACAAACTTGTATTAGTAACTTAAGCACTACTATCTGGGTGAGTGCACCAAGGTATCTTCCTGACAGGGGATCCTCTTTCAAAGGGAGTTCAAATAGCTTAGCCTTCCTTGAAAGCATTTTGCAATTCTTATGAGCCAAATTAATCATTTTGTGTAACAGGAACATTGAAATCTTTCCCGTCATTGATTTTGAAGCAGTATGTTGAATAAACTTGTTTACTAAAGACAAGCAATATCTGAAATCAGATGATCAATATTTTTTAGCATGCTGGTGCAATATTCATCCCAGATATATTCAAGGAGACTACCAATTTGGTGGTACCTTCATTGCTGATTAGCCATACTTCATATTCTTGACCGAGTTTCCAAAACGGCCTCGAGGTGTTTCTGTCATCTGGATCTTTTCCTCCAGAGACATCAACACCGTCTGCAAGCAATAAGTAAGGTACTACTTACTTCTGTCTCTGCATTTCCAGAGCTGACTCATCCTGCCATGATTTCACTCCGCTCCCATGGCTCCATTCAAAATTGCACACGAGGGTGTCCCACTCAAACTCATTTCACACACAGAGCTCACTGACTGCAACAAAACTTCTCCATGCACTTTACTTTTCCATTTACATTTCATAGTCTCAGCTGGGCAGGTACTTGAAAGGGCTCATACTGTTAAGGGACGGTGAAACCATGCGCATCTGCTGGCATGAAAGCAAAAAAATTACTGACATGTATGTACACGAAAATATGCTTGAATACCACCTATTCAAGCCTAGTTTTCATGGATTACATATTCATCTTTTGCAAAAGCAAAATCATGTGGAGGAAATGTAAAAAGGAAAGACTTAGTTTTCCTATAAACAGAGTGAAGAAATGCTGTTGATTGGTGTACGAAGAGGTAAACATGTCTGTGAAGGAGATATCAGCAGTGTATTTTGGATTTCCCGCCAAAATGGCTGTCTTGTGAAATACTTTGGACATGTCCACAGTATCATTTTCAACATTAATGGTTATGTTGCTGTAATGAAATCAGACACGAACCAGTTTGTTGATCCCAGACAATGGTGCCTTGAGATACTGCCAGCGCTGGTCATTAAAGGGATATTCCAGTGTAAAATTAATTTTGGGTCAAACACACCATAACACCGAGTTAAGACACCCCCTCCACAGATGAATGTTGCCGACCGCTTCCTTCTCTCATTATACCAACTTTAGTAACAACCGCATGATAGCAATACAGAGCGGCCTGAGAAGCCATGAACAAACCTCAACCAAAACGCCACTCTATAGCCACAAATAATACTCAGAACAGCAACTAACTTCATCAACAGTACATATAGGGTCCCAGCCACAGCACTAACCACCAAATATCATTTTAGCTTTGCCTGATTTCTTTAGCAAAGAGACTAAACACAACTCGGTGAGTAGGTGAGTTGTGTTTAGTCTGTTTAGGCAACACTCATCTCTCGAGGGGGTGTCTAACCAGGTGTTATGGTGTATTTGACTCTACATTAATTTTACGCCGGAATATCCCTTTAAGTCAGTATTGCATTCATGCTTTGCCTATTTGCATGCTGACATAATTTTAAAAGCCGGTTGCACTACTGTTGTGGTGGAAAATAAGAATACGAATAACAGTTTAATCACATTCTAGGAGACAGAGCTGCCGAGATATAAGATTACATATTTTTGAAACATCAAAGTCGTCTGACGTAGACATTTCTTCATGTTTCAGCTCTTTGAAGACATTGAAGTTTATTCTTTACACTGATTTTCTAAACTCTTTACTCCTGTGAAACAAAATGCCTATCAGAGCAGCAGTTTTTTTTTTTTTTACATGGTGTTAGACTGCTGGATTATATGTCCACTAATTCTACAAGGTACTAATTATTACCATTTTTTTACCGAGCAGAAGACATTCACAAGTTTCTTACACAGTGGTTTCATTTCAGATTCTCCAAGTTTTTATGTCCTAACAGCTTGACCAGCTCCATATTGGGTAAACATTTCAGACTGGCCTAACCTCCCAGAAATCTGTATGAATGTAAGGTTAGGCCAGTCTGCCAGAACAAATAAAATACAAGCTTGCTGGTTAGTCTAGTTGCCAGGCTACAAAGCAACAGGAGCACGGTCCATTTGCTTTATAATCCAGTGCAAACTTAGACCCAAAAAAAATCAAGAGAAAATGACTTTTCAGCTTGCTCTGTTTCTGACACCATGAACTCATATTTTTGAGCACACACTCAACAGAACCCCAAGCTTTCACAATAAAAAGAAAGGTTATGGGTAGTAGAGTCTTGAGAAGCACGCTGGAGTTTGAGGAGTGAGGAGTGTCTTCCAGGTTAATCTCCAATAAATGAACCATCATATCCAGCAGTCACTCAGCGGTTATCGTCACTATGGCAACCTTTAATTGCAGGTGGGGACACACAGCTGATTGAGATTCGCTAATTAGACCACTTATCTGATCTCCATGGTGTTCACCAGCCACGTGATTGACATTTCTGTGAGACCCCTGCTACAAAGACTACTGTGTCTCACAGCAGCTTCAAGCCAAGTTTACACAGGTGTTATTTATCATCACTTTAACTTTTTAGCATTAAAACTGCTCCCTCCATTTGTCTCTTTGATAAAAAAAGGTAAGCTCAGAAGTTCAATTATTGTTTTAGATCAGTGATTGAAGCATTTTTCTTCTAACATATTTTTACTGGATCAAAATTCACAGACAAAATCAGCTGTGGTTGGTAGATTCTTGTGCATTACAATTCCAACACACTGATACATGAGCAAATCTGGAGCCTGTAACAATGACCACATTTTGGGAATCCACACACACATCACTATTTTTGATTGACAGCAGCTGTAACTCTGTGCCCTTACTCAATATTGGGAGAACTTCATTCTCTCTATCAGGTTTGTCCGACCAAGAATACACACACGCTCACAGACAGAAGTTTCAAAAAGAAAGCCTCCTGACAGACATAAAAGTCGACTGGAAGGGTCTGAAGTCCTGTTTTTCTCCCAAAACAGACCCTCTGATGGAAACAAAACCTCAGAATCTGGACCCTGGGGTGTGTCCATACTTTTCTGACTTGGGTGGCCTAGCATGGTTAATAGGTTATGCGAGGGTGGCGCAAAATATGCATATGCACACACAAATAAACAAGGGTTGTTTTCACTACCTGTAGTATATACTGTGTTACTTTAAAGGGAAATTCTGGCGTAAAATTAACTTAGGGTCAAACACACCATAACACGAAGTTAGTCATCCCCTCAGGAGATGAATGTTGCCGGCTGCTTGCTTCTCTAGGTGTACCAACTTCAGTAACAACCGCACGATAGCAATACACAGCAGGCGATGGCTCCACGCTTACCTCAACCAAAAAGCCACTCTATAGCCACAGATAATGCTCAGAACAGCACCTAACTTCATCAACAGCCATAGTACTAGCCACCAAACATCTTTTTAGCTTTACCTGATTTCTTTAGCAAAGAGACTAAACACAACTCACCCACTCTCTTCCAGCAGCCGCTTGTTTGTGGGTAACCCCTACGAGGCGATCACAGAGTGCCTCATGACATTCAGCACACAGATGATATACTTTTTTATCTTTAATAATTAACACAACAGAGAAGTAACATAAATCTCTTCTTTACCAAATTCAAGAACTCAAAAGATTTATTTTGGATTTGTCTCTTCCTGGATGACAGCAATCTGCAAAATGTTTCAAGGATAGATATTTCCATGAACCAAAACTAAGTCATGTTTGTCCTAATCACAGACCCTGGAGCTATTATTGTCGCAGAATTATTTGCAAATGCAAACAAAAATTCACAACTGCGTACATAAATCCACTAATATGTAAAACCTTTTCAAATGTATATAAGATTTACAAATGTGTCCACATATCCACAAATGCAGATCTACAAATGTGGACCAATTTGTGATTGTATATGAAGTCAAATAAGTCTAATTTTTTCTTATACAAAACCTGAAAATACCCATAAGTTCATCAGTTAAAATTAAGGCAGGCCACTCAATTGTCTGTCTGTTAACTAGGGATAGAAATCACTAGTAGCACCACGATACAATAGTATCACGATACTCTGGTCACTGTACAATGTTATTGAGATTTTTTAACATTTTGCAATACAGTGAGTATTGAGATACAGTATATATTACTACTTTTTCATTTTTTTAACTGCAAAGCTAATTTAGCATTTGTCTTTCCTTTATGTTTGTCTTACATAGTATTTTTTTTCATGTTGTTAAACAAACTTTCTCCTGCTCTATTAAGATACCTCTGCCAACCTAACTGGACAAACACTTGATTTTATTTTTCCATTATTATAGATTTGACTTCATATTAGCAGTTAATTTGAAAAATCGATACTTAGTAAATGAGATGATACGATATATCACTAGACAAAATATTGTAATACAATGCTGTATCGATTTTTTCTTCCACCCCTATTGTTAACACAAAACTTTTGTTACAGTCCTACCTCGCTTAAGATCCACAAATGTGTAAGAAAATATATTATCAACCTGTGCGAGGCCTTGGGTTTGCTCAGTCCCCACATTCATTGATCTATGAACGCATTTATGGATCTATGTACACATTTGTGGATCAGTTTACAGCTTTGTGGATGGATATGCGCAGTTGTGAATCTTTGCACCCATTTGGAAATTGTTTTGCCACAATAATAGCACCATAAGACCCCATAGTTCAAGTTAAAAGCAGAGCTTATGAGGCTCAGCCCTCAGTTGATGATGTTCTCCCCAGTGAGAACTTAAATGACTCCTCTTCACCTCCTTCTTACACTTAAGCTGATATAAGTCCTAACACTACAACTCTCATTTCAGCACCTTTCATCGCTTGACCCCTCTGTCCCTTTCTAGTTATCCTTTGGCTGCTCCTTCATACAAGGTTAAGCCAGTTATGCTGTTCAGCTCCAAGCTAAACATGAAGCCATACACTCCAGCTTCCAGCTATCCAGGCAGTGCAGTTTAGTTCAACATCAGCTTTCAGCAGTCAGCAAAACCACTGCCATGTCTCTGGATATTGTCTACTCTATTTTAGTTTTGATATCTGACCATGATACAATATTTCCACTTTGTTAAATATGTCGAAAGCCAATTAATAAAATCAAGCAGAAAATGGATGCAGTTCTGCAATGTCCTTGAAACCAGTCGTAAACCACTGACTGCAGCACCAGAAATAAATCTCTGATCACAGGACCAGAAGTAAAAAGCTGACTACATAACCGGAAACAAACAAGCAGCAATGAGACCAGAAATAAATGCCTGACCCACAGAGCTGGAACTAAACTGGTGATCACAGGAGAGCAGATAGATGACCAATTATCAAGCCGTGAACAGGCAGAGCTCTGAGGGTTTGACATCCCTAAGCTGTGTGCGTACCCCCACCTCGACAAGCTGGTGGCCTTTTGGCTGCTTCTTGAAAGACTTGGTCTCTGTGAATTTTCTGTCGACACCGGCCTGTCTCAGAGGAGATGGGTCACTTCCTCCTAAAGGTTACAGTCTGTCACTTCAGGGGAGATGGTCAGCTGATTACAATCAGATAGTGATTACTGTACAATAGATATGTGAGGGGGGCCAGTGGCAGACCTGTAAAAGGCTTAGACAGGGAGCTCTGCAGTGTCAAAATATACAAAAAACACGCCACAGTGTGATTGCTTAAGATTTTTTTCACACCACATGGAAATAACATCAATTTTTCTGCGCTGACTGCTCTTTTGGGTGATAGTGTACTGTAGTAAGTTAGCAAATAGCACCTAAAAGGTCCTGAATACATTGATATTTACACTTTGCTACTATCTAGTATTGATCCTCACTGAAAGCACATCTCAGCACAGATAGTGTTAATCAATAAATGTTGGACTGCGGTTGGTTGTCTGCTCCAAAGCCTCCTGGACATTTTATCCAGCCCCCCGAATATCCCGTATTAAAGAATAATGCTTAAATCGAGCACTGTGGCACTCATCATTGGACTGAATCAGAGCAGTGCAGTGTGTTAGTTATGAGATTGGTAAGCACACAAATTAATTCAGCAATAAACCCCCCCGGTGAAATGAAAGGTTGCTGCAACAAAGTGACGTGAAGTCTCTCACAGAGATAATACGGAGTTAGGATAATGAGCCAATCAATTATTTGGATCTGCCTAAGTGACAGTTGGCTCTTACCATTCAGCAGAGTGATCACGCTGCCTGCAATATATCACTATATTGCACAAGATCCAATCACCACCTAAACCTAAACACCTTTAGAGTGAGGAGAGGCACATAAAACAAAAAGAAACTACAACATCTCCTGGAAGAAAGTGAACCAAAACCAATTATTCCATCACCTGGAGGCCTCTGTGAAAAAGTTAGCGGCTTGTGTGAGGCAGGTGATTAGTTTTAAGTGTCAGATGATTGGGTTGTGAACTCTGCACTTAGAGAACTGTTGCAAGGAAAGCTAATATTCCCCTGTAAAACTCTCTAACAAGCTTTCCTCCTTTTTTTTGATTAAACATGATGAAACAGTTCAAATGTTGAAACAGCTTTCTTTGTCAAATACCTAGAAACCCCTTAGCATTGCAGTCAATGACACAGGAAGTGCACATACTAAGTTACAGGAAAGAACTACTTTTATTTCTGCAACTATTGATATTTTTACACAAATCCGTCACTAAATTCACCAATTTGAAGTAGCTGAAGCTTACCCTGACATTAATAAGTCACCGAGGAAGACTGTGCTAATTAGACTTAATATTTAATTATGAATTGTCTGCCAGTACAATGTAACAAGGCAAGACTATCTTCCAACAACAGACTGTAATGGCCTCAGGCGTTACAGTGTTCTGAACATAGCTCTTCTTTAACATTTCATTTGCCATGAGATTTCCTCTGTTCTTTCAGATGACTTTACATGCATCATGTTATTTCCCCCGCTTGTAAATCCTAATGGAGGAACACACTGTGACCTTTCAATATCCTTTTTTTTTCTGCATTTCATCGAGCAATGAGCATCCCATATTTGAATCTTAAGCATATCTCAAGGGTAGTAACTTTTTATTTGCCTATTTTTGGCTTCATTGGTATCCTTTTCTCCTACTTTAAGACGAACATGCATATTTCATGCCCCCCTGTCTGCCCCTGTCTTCATTTACCCCCTCTTCTCTATTCTGACCCTTTCTGTGGTCTTTTACAGCAGCTCGTATTACTGAGAGAATTAAGTGCCACACATTCCCCCGCCAATCCATCCTCCAATCTTTTCAGTTTACTTTCCATTCCAATCTATACCAGGTTTGAACTGGATAACATCAGTCTCAAAAATGTTTTTTTTTTTTTTTTTTCCTGTAATTGCTCTTGACAAACAACCCAGTGGCCCAAGAAACTGTTTATTGACTTGTCTCCCTCTGCTGAGTGCTGCTGCCCCTCATGGCGCAGTGTGCCACTGAAGTTGTTTGAGAGGCATAAGGTGCTGGCTTGCACCCATCCCCACCCAGGTGCCACAGTGTGTAAATCCAATGATCGATTTCAAATTTCTTGAGAGCTGCAGGGAATGCCGGCGGTTACACAAACTGTCCCACAACCACTAAATGTGGACTTCTCTCCCTGCAGCATTTTGCTGAGGAAGAAAGCTAGATTTGCTTTGTCTTTGCTCACATATTCTGTGTCCCTCTGGCAGAACAGCAAAAGCAGCTTCACAAAAAAAAAAAAAGAGAAAGGGTATTTTCTATTTTAAAATCATGTACAGAGTGTGCCTGACTCCTTGTCTAGTTGCATAAGGCAGGTCATTGATATGCTTCTTATTGCTTTTTTGGACACTTTTCACTTATTCTTACTAAATAGAACTGTCAGGTCTGAATTTAACACCAAGATTTTTTAAGTTTATGTGCATATTTGTAATAGATTTGGCTCTACTTTCAACTCCAACTGAAATTCAAGAGGGCACTTGAGAAGAAAAGCAAACTCGCACCATGACCTCTGATGTCGAGAGCCTTTATTAGTTGTTGCAGTTGGAGAAGGTATTATAAATGCGCAGCTTACGCTGCTAATGGAAATGAGTGTGAGGGAACGGAGAAACTGCTAATGTAGTTTAGACATCCTTAAGACGTCTGTGTAAATTCTGAATACATCTTCGGCGAAGGCAAACTGTGCTAATTCCATTTGGACCTGTAGTGCTGGCTTATTAGATTACTCCTTTAAATGTCATGTTTATCAGGTTTAGAAATGTAAATGGAAAGCATTAAATGTATCCTTTCAGGCTACAAAGAGGCAGTGAGTGAGCTCTCCCTGGCTAGCAGTAAGCTTGTGAAGAGTTTGGAAGAGATTTTGTGGCTGATGTGATCTAATATGGATCGTTCCCACCTCTTGTGCCATAGAGTGTGTGGGAGGTTTACATTAAACTAAGTGAATATTTGGTGCTACAGTCAGCCCAGGAAGTATTTGGACAGCAAAAAATTGTTAATATTGATATTGTGGTTCTATTCTCTTCCTACTTTAAATGTTTCAATGAGATGATGCTAATGAGGTTAGCTGTTTGTTTTTTTTTAATTTTAGAGTATCTTCAAATACAGATTAATATTCCATAAAGCACTCATTCTTTTCCCTTTATTTCACCGTTAGAGCTATTATGTGCATGTGGCGCCTGGAGACATGAGTGCCTCTTCATGAACAAGGGGCTTGTTGTGGAACAGAGGCCAGCAGCACTGAAGCACCGCTCACCTGTTCAGCCCGACAGCCAGCCAGCTCGGCTATGCCTCGCCCTGCCAAGCTACACCGCAACCAGCTGGTAGCAATCTTCAATTACAACACCTGAGCCGCATTAACTCGTCAGCCGCGACCCTAAGAGCCAGCAGGTGCATGAGGGGGGAGGTGCAGGGGGCTCACTGGTGCCTGTGGACAAGGCTTGGCTCATGTCAAAGGAAATAAAGTTGTTTTATTAATTAAGTGGAGTGGAAATTTTGTCTCTTTTATGAGGGAGCCGGAGCTCTGCAGCGAGAAATGAAATAACTTACTGTCCATGAATGAACAACACAGAAACACTCATGTCACGGATATCTTTGAAGCTTTTCGGGGTGATGCATACGCAGAATGCAATGCTTCAATATTTCCCATTAAAAACATCCGTGTAATATTAATCTGCAGCTTATTATATATTAACAATATTAACCCTGCTGTTCCAATTAACATGGAAATTTACCTGCCACTGATAAAACAACATGTCAGTGTCACAAACATCATATTCTTGGATTTTACCGCCTAAAGATGAAATTTAGTGTACCTATGACAGTAATTCATTTCAAAGAAAATAGTTTGGTAACACTACAATAACCATAACATATAAATGGTAAACAGATAGTTTATTAATGTTTAATCATCATTTATAAATATCATATAGACCACTTATAAATTGTAAATTTTACAATTTTAAAAACCTAACCCTAACCCTAACTTTACAATAACCATCTAAGTAATGTTTACAGATGGTTTAAAAACCAAGTATTAACCATTTACGAAGTGCTACTGACACACATTTTAATCTAGATGTTTTACAACCAACATTTAAACCCTATATAAACATTTAATAAATAGTCCATTAATAATTAATGAAAATTATCATAATTTCATTGCTTGTTTATGGTTAAGTAACTATTAACTTATGTTAATAAACTATCTATTTGCCATTTAAAATTGGTCTATATGCTGTTTTTAAATGATGATTAAACATTAATAAACTGTCTATTTACCATTTATAAATTATGGTTATTGAAAAGTGTTACCAATAGTTTTTTTTTTAATGTGCAATAATTTCAGTCTAATTATGGTCAGCTTGTATTCCACTGCAACACTTATTTTCTCATCCAAAAGATGATGATTTTGTGGTTTCAGAAACAGTGATGGAAGATTTTTTAATTGAATAGTTTTAATAAATGAAATCTCTGGTTGAGACATCATGTTGTGGCAACACGATGGTTCAAATACTCAGCAATCAGCCATGGTGTTATGATCACTAGTGCGAAATCAGGCAATCCAATGCAACAGCAAGTATTTACTTTATGAAGCCTCTATGTTTTCAAGCTTAGTTGACACATCAAAAGGGTATTATTGTTAAGGTCATATTCTCTGACTTCCACTCCTGCTTGTGAATGTATCAGAGGAAACTTGATTGACAATCCCCAATTAACTGAATCGACCTTCATTCATTTAATTTCATTCATAAACCACATTTATGAAACGGTACAGTGTATGCCCAGTTTAACATGGAGTAAAAGTAACATCCGTTTTAAATGGATATGTTTGTAAGACAACAAACCTTGAAGCAAAATAAGACATTTGGTTTTACTTGCTGAATAATTTCAGAACAACATTCCTGACCTGTTGGCTGACAAATAACTTTTAACATCATCAAAGCAAATAATTGACTGTGGCTCTTGTTTACTGAAGAAATGTGGATTTTTTATTTATTTTTTATTGATTTTCTTGATTAAAGAAAACCTTGTGTCCTTTTACCCTCGCAGTTATTATGTTGGGTTTTTCCCCTTGTAAAACAAATCATTACAGTAAAGTAAAATTCAATCTCACTCAGGGCTGTCGCATCATAACAAGTCCTCGATCTCGGTGGCTGTGTGCCTCGTCTTTGAATTAATTCTGGAACACTCTCAGGCGCTGGCTCTATTTAGACAAAGATTTATTGAAGTGACGATATTACCTCTGAAATTTATTTTCTGATGGTTTCATAGAGGAACAGAGATTGACAGCTTAAATTCTGAGGACTGTCTAAAGGCGCACTTTGTGGAGTAGATTTGGCAGGAGTTGAATCTTTCTTCCAGGTTACGATAGATTAATTTAGTTTATGGGTTTAAGGGTCAGTGTCTTACAGCGTCAAAAAGATAGCTTCAATAATTTATCTTTTTAATAGATATTCTGAAAATGTTAAGACTTTATGATCTACTGCAATGTCAAGTCTATGCTTAACTTAAAGCGGTCTGATATCCGCCATCACGTCTGACCTAACTCTGTCGAAGGGCTTGTCGCCTGATTACAAAAGGTCTGTCAATGCGAATGGATAGCTTGTAGGTAATTCAGTAATGACCGAGCGTGTGCTCAGGTGGGAGTTAATCGGGTGTTAAATGAGTGATACAAAGAAGGCTCAGCTGAGTAAGGGTGAGGTTTACTGGCTGCTTTTCAGTGCTGCCTGAAACACATCCAGCTTTTTTTTATTTTTTCCTCTTTCCTCAGTTTTTAGTATGTGTGAGAGCAACCCAGGGCCAAGATTAAATTACTGATGATGTTGTACATGAAACATACCAAGTGCACTTCTGCAGAGTGCTTATTCACTTAAAGCAAAACTGTCCTGCGATGATGATGATTCACTTAAATTTACTTCATCAATTTTAATGCAGTCATAACATCCTCAATTAATCAAAGTAAAAATGCTGGGTGCTAAAATAAATCGCTGAGTGTGATCAGACTTAAAGACTTGTAAGCATCATTCACTCCACATACATCATTTGTATAGAAATGGCCTTGAGTGGAGAAGCAAGAAGAAAAAAAAACGCTCTCTTTCTCCCTCTGGTACTTGAAATAATAGAGCGCACACACGGATGCAGATCTGGATTGATCACTCAGGCTTTCTTTCTCCTCCAGTGAGATAACCATGACAATGTCTGCAATGTTGTTTTGCTTATTTGAACACAGAGCAGGCTCGAAAAAAAGGGCATCAGAGCAACAAGGCAGTGTCTGATCCATGTTACATTTGTATTCACGGTGCTAAAAGACATGGATTTTGAAGTCCTTCATTGGTATAGCATGCATAGTGAAGTCTTTTAAGAAGCATCACTCCCAGGTGCATGGTTTATTATATAGAGAGCAGATGTAGCTTGAAGAAACATTGCTATTTGAAAGTGTTTAATTGGAGACTGCATTTCAAGACAGCCAGCCCTGCCGCTGGTTTTATTCTAATTGCCAGCAGCAATGCACTTAATGAAGCGAGTGGTGAAGAGTGTGGATAAAAGAGTGAGAGTGACCAGGTTTCCAAGGCAACAGCAGCGTAGCCCAGTAGTGTTTTCATCTTGAGGAAAAGGCTACAGGAGAGCAGTGTTTCCCTGCAGTGCTTCCTGCAGCTCTATAATGAACATCTATACAGTAATAGATATATTCATGAAAATGTTGCGGCGCTGGAAAAATTTAGCAAACCTGTAGAGTGCTCCACAATCCACCAGAGGAAAAAAAATTCCACTAAAACCACAGGATAAGACTTGTATAGGCCATTTCTGAAGTACAATAGTGCAGCAGCTTAAAAGCAAGTCTTTGGGGAGAGAGCTTTGAAAGCTTTCTGTCTTCAGATATGAACAAAGAAATAGGCAAGTCATTTTTGCCCTGCTTATCTAAGAGATTTTTATCACGCAATTTATGTGAAATCCAGAAGGCGCTCATTTACACTGCTTTAATACAAGGATGCCAATAGTGGATCTCTATTTCCCCTGCAAAATGACTCCAGCCCAAAGGTAAGCTGAACATACTATCAAGTTTGGGGGTGTTTGGTGCAGTTTGGTCCAGCCCCAGGTTGCATTCAGGTTTGGTTATTTTCAAATATCATTTAGAGAGAAATTGTTCCCTCTTTCTTTTCCGCCAATGGTCTGCATCCATGTGTGTAATGTATTCCAAGTAGGACACAGTATGCCCAGCAGGAAAAACAGAGAGCGAGGCAGAGCGTAGCCGATGTGTTGCATTTGCCTAACGGTCAGTAATGGATGAAATAAAGCAAAAAGTTGCTGAAGGGAGTGTCTCAGAATCCCAAAAGATTCAGGGAAGACTTCCTCAGCAAAGGAAAACTATGACCTTATCTGATCCTCCATTATGCGTCTCCTCAGTACAGTATGATTTAGCTGGGAAAGAGACCAAAGAGTTTAACAAGCCAAGTACTGGAAAGGCAATATCAGCTTTTTGTTGACTTAAAATCTCAAGACTGCCTTTTTTTGGTAGTGAGCCAGGGCATACCAAAATAAGCCAATGTGATATTTGTTACGACTACAAAAATACAAGGTACATTTGATGAATGTTTTATGTCTCTTAATCAAAGTCAAACTCAATAAAAAGACAAGCTCTTTGTCGGTTTTGGTCGTCCTCTAGTTAACTAAGTAACAATCATTTAAGTTTACTGTTGGTACCACTTTTAACTGGTATTCCAAGCATGATTCCAGCGATTAAATGACCTAATAAATGAATTATTTTAAAACCTGAGGGGGTATCCAATAAAAATCTATTGCGGATACCCCTCATGAGGGGTAAGCATTTGCGCTCTCTGTTGCACAGAGTTGCACTGTGCACCCTCATCCTGACAACACAAAACCATGTCCTTATATTTGATGAGTTGAACAGAAAGAGAAACTTGTTACTTTTCTTGTGCCTATTCATGATAGATGTGACACACACTTCACAGGTTATATCCAGCTCTCCTGTTAGAAGGTGTTAGCAATTAGCAATTGTTAAAGAAAAGGAAACGCTGTTGTTTCTTAAACTTAAATGCTTCCACACATCAGATCTAAAAGTTTCTGCCGAATCTTTCTGCCTGTTGTCACTGGTGCTGGTGTGCACCATTTTTTCCTGTACTACATCTCAGGCAGAAAGCAAAGCACAAAGAATGATGGGCAAGCATGGGATGATGGTTTCTGTAGTCCCCACTTTCCTATGCTGTCCGCCCCAGTCTCCCAATATATTTTCAGCTAAAAAGTACACAGCTTGACACTTCTGCCCTCAAAGACCAGTAAATGTGTAAAAAATAAATCCAGTTCATAGCCGTTTTGCTCTTTTACTAAGCAGGGGAGTCTCACCATCTACACTTGAACATAAAACAAACATCTTTTGCTAATCCTTCTTCTAGTTTTAGCCATGAGTTCAACACATTCTGTATATTGAAAATTATCCAAGGAGAAAAAACTCAACCCGCTCGATAACTCACAGGCAAACTTGACCAACAGAGTTTCTTGGCGAGTCCTACATACCGACTCAAGCATAAAAAATATCTGTCTTATCACCTATACGCTCATTTGACTGTTAAAGACATAAGGAGGCATCAGTATTAGAGTGGGACTATTTTGAAATACATTGAAAGCTCCCCATTGTGCATTTAATGTTACCCACCCACAACATTTAACAAAGTTATGTGAATGATGGATGAACAAAGAAAATCCTTCATACCTCTGACTGTTCAGTCTTTTATGTGCAGCTTCTACTGTATTGCCACTAAACTGAACTCTTTTTGCACTTGAAGAAAAAAAAGGGCTTCATTTCTCTTTTAGATCTTGAAAGGAGCGTACAAGTCAGGCAGTGGTTTAATGATATGAGATTTGTTTGTGGTCATGTGTCAGAGCTGGCTTCAATTTGTGTTTTTAACACTTTACGTGTAGCACAATGAGAGGTGTTGAAAATGAGCTTATATAAGCTCCTTGCCTCCTCTCATTGTATTTCTTATTTTAAGCAGGACTAGACTTGTTCACTGTTTTGTGTAGGAAAAAACTTGCCAAAATATAATGTCAGGTCAGCCTCAAGTCTGGAATTTGGCGGTGGGCTGGTAGGTAGATTTATTAAAGTTTCTCAGTTTCTTATTCACACCCTCACACTTGAAAGCGAGCTTACATGATAACACAGTTGATGCCTGCAGACTTTCCAGTATGATGTGTAAAACTGAATTATAAGTCAAACTACTCATAAGATAAGTATAGAATTATTGATTCAGTTTAACATTTTCAATTCATCATCCCCCTGGCCTCATCTTTATTGCGTTGTCAATTACTACATGGTCTCTTTCGCCCAATTCAGGTGACTCTCCTGAATAGCAAAACACTTCCATGAGTCAAAAAGCAGATAATAACCATAATACTGAGACAGCACATCCTTCAAGTAAGAGGGTCTCTAGCAGAACATAGACACATTAATAATTGATGGACAGAAAGCCAGCACTACACGGCAATTTTGAGAAGCCCGGTGCCTGCCACAAGAGAAATTTCCAGCAGCAAATAGGTCTTAAAGGTGCCAGTTATGTCATCTCTTACAGTGAAGTGAAATCCTGAGCGAGTCTAATACACTAGTAAATTAGAAGACGGGGCCCTTAACCTAACTTAAAATTCAGAAGAGATTAGGAGAAATGCTGTAATATGTAAGTAACAAATTAGCCATGTGCTACTGAGAAAAGAAAATACCCACAGCATAAAAAAGTGATGCTCCTTCCCCTCTCAGTCACTGATACTGGAACAGTTGCCTGGTTTTGCACTATTGGCAGGTACCAGCAGCTGAACAGTGACTTTTTTTTTTTTTTTTAATAGTAGGTGTCATAGTTAACAGTGGCAACTGATATTACTTCAATTAAACTGAATTGAGTTTTCTGTTGTACAAACTTGATACACCATTTATAACTGATAAAAAATAATAATAATTAAAAAAAAAAAAAAAACTTTTGATAGCAACAGCTTAAGTAAAAAATTTAATGCAGACAAAAAGAAACACACAAAAACACTGGAAATACACATCAACACAAACAACATCATTGGAGTTACCAAAAGTTTGAGCTTTGACCAAAAACTGTAAGATAACAAAAGAGTCCTTTCATTGTCCTAGGATATATGAATACAGAACTTCTGCTGGCTAGCAGCTGCCTGCCAGCTGCTGCTAATAGCCCTTGTCACATTGCCAGTTGAAGGTGTGATTTTTACTCCCTGTCATATTTTGCTTTCAATAAACATGTCCCACCATCACAGGCTTGATGTGGGACATATAGTCCTGCTAGCATGGGAGGTCGTAGCAGAGATGTTACAGGAGCAAGATGGGATCAATGTGAGCTGGTGGATCAGGCAAGGCAGTACAGAAACACACACACACACACACACACACACACACACACACACACACACACACACACACACACACACACACACACACACACAACGCCATTGCAGGTCATTATGGAAGTACAAAGATATGTGACAGAGTGGATGTGATGTGGTGTTGTGGCAAGGTTGCAGTGGGAAAAGAGCTAACGTTAGCTTAAAGCCAAGACTAAGTCTTCATTCAGTCTGCTTTTTTGGCAACACAATTTCCTAATCCATGTTTGCACTCTTAGTGCTGGACTTGGCATTTTGTTAAAATCACACTACGCCACTGTTTCTTGTTTTACATGCATGAAAAAGCATGAGTCATAAGCTAGTTAGCTTCAAAAACTGTTGAAATTTAACCTAAACTGATACTAAACTTTGTAGCTACAGCTTATTAAGAAACTGTCTGTATAGTTAGGAGTGAATACAGGCCAACCATTTAGCAGAAAAAAACAAGCAACAAAGGCAACATCCTATTCCACTTGTGTTGCTAGAGCATCATTATGATCAAATGAAAAGGTTCATGACCCTGTGCACCACCTCTCTACAACTATTGTATACCAACCCTTGTCCTCTCTACAGTGTTTACGCTCTGCTTTTACAGATATAGACCATCATCCCAGTGTACTGGTCAATGCTTCTCGCATTGATAGCTCCAGTGTGTCACTGGAGTGGATGATATTCTATGCACAGCAAACAAGCTGCCCTATGTCCAGCTTTAAGGTTATGCGCTATTGATAATATTGGCTTCCTCTCACTCCCCGGGAAGCGGTGCAGGCTATAATTAGCAGCAAGTTAAGCACGGCATCAGAGCTGATAAACTCAGTCAAGTTACTCATGCAAGTTCCTGTTGCGAGGAGGGAACCTTAGAGCAAACAAATGTGTCTCTTTAAGAATTGAATGACAAAATGAGTGGGTGATTAAACAGAGCTGTCATGTCAGAACGTACAAACAAAGACCTCAAAGAACAACAGCAGATTTATGTATTGTGAGGTTAAAGACTGTGGTGACAAAAGAGGACGTGTAAAGCAGGGAAGAGTACTCATGAGGTTGTAAGTATGTGGTGAGTGTTTGCATGAGTTGATCAGAGAATGTTTATCTGCAGTACAGGGGAGCTACTCAAACTTAATAAATGAAAAAAGGGGTGGATGATGAGTCAGGTTTTTATTTATAAAGTCACTTTTTATTGCTTTTGACGGGATGTTCTTGCCTTCACTCCACCCAGGCTCTTGGGAGGAGGCTGGGCAGTGTATGTACACATTCAGAGTGATTTTTAGCAGCCTACAGACCCTGTGGGAGGATAACTATTCATCTGAGGTTCCTCCTCCATTTTTTTCTCATCATTTTATACATTTTCTATTCTAATTTTGAGTCAACCTGAAGATTTCTCTGTTCAGCAGGGGCTGGAGACCGACACATGTAATCACCGCTCCTAGGGATTGAACTGATTTCTTGATGGATAAAATAGTGTACAATGATAACGGTAAACACCGAAACATCACGAGGAATGACAATAAGAGAAAGAGTATGAATAATGAGATTGTGTTGAGAAGGCAACTGTGAGAGGGGAAAAAGCGAGGGTCTTATAGCATTGTCTTAAGTGATGGATTGAGAGGAAGAGAGTGTGAAACAGAGCAGGAAGAGAGAAGAGAAAAGGAAGGGTTCAGTAAATAGGAAGACTGTAGGAAGAATAGTAATTAAGTGACTGAAGGAAGACATGCAGATCGTGTTACAAGAGGAATGAAAGCAGAGGCATATAAAAGGGGATCAAAAAGTAAAAGCCAAACAATATAAAACTAAGAAAAACTGTTAAAGACCCACTCCTGTGAAAATCATGTTTTTCCTGCTGTTTACATGTTCAAATGGCATTTTTCTGATACTAGAGGACAAATCATGAGAAAAAGTAAGCGTGAAATTGCACTTCTGAGTATTTCTGCATTCAAATCGCTGTGAATCTCTGGCAAAACCAAACGGCAGAATCGGATACAATGACATTTCCTACGTTACCAATCCAAGCTCCGCCCCCTGGAGCCCCACTATGCAGGCCAGACTCTGAGAAATAGAGAGGACGATCGTGGAACAAGCATGTGCATTAGCAGATTGAAATGCTCGCAAGAAAGCTAATTATGATATTAGCTTTCATTATGCCCCCCAAAAAGAATAGTGCTTAGAATAGTGCGGGTAACATAGGAGCTGAATAGCTCCTATGTTACCCGTTTCTTCTACTACACCAACAATGTTAGGCTGCAAGCTAACTCGAGAAGAAGTGTGCAGGGCAGCGCTGTCTCCTCCCACGACTCAGAGGTAAATAGCTAATGAGCTACTGGAGCTCTGCAGAAGAAAAGTCCTCAAAAATGCCACAGGTAATGTGATTTTGGCTAAAAACTTAAAATTACAGTTTAAAGACCACTGATAAAAACTTTAAAAAAAATAAACAATCTGAGTGGGACTTTAAAGAAGATTATGTAGGGTAGTTGTATCTTCATGTATGTGAGAGGTATTGTGTATTTGTATTCAGCCTAGATGTGAGGTAACTTGTAAACTTCTATACTGTGATGGTCAGATACTACAGAGTTCTCTTCATGGTTTATTCTTATAGACATTAAGTGATACAGAACCTCCATTAATTCAGCTGCCTGCTTGAGCATCCTCAGAGTTGAATGGTACAAAAGGGCAGCAGTGGCAAAACATTATCCATGGATTTAATTACATAATATACAAAGCATCCCTAATTATTACAGAGTGAAGCAGAACCTTCAAGTTAAATCTACAGATCTCTCACAAATAAAACACACATCACTTTAAGTTAAATCACATTAAGTCAGCTTTTTCTTAAAGCATGCAAGGGATAATGTACAGTGAGACAATACCAGGTACCAAATAAAGCTGTAAAAATGTTGATACAAATATTGATTTCAATTATTTAATTGATTACATTATTTTGTAGAAACTTTTAAACAATAGTTCCTCTGATTCGAATTCTGAGCCCAATTAAAATAGATCTTCTCGAGCCCCATCACTAGAGCCTGAGCCAACCCTGCACAATTATGAAAACCATGTCTCCATTATGTAAACAACCCAATTAAAGCTTTAAATAAGTATAACTTTGTTTTACATTCAGGAATATGTAATCACGAGAGCGAATGTAACATTTCCTCAGCAAGGTTTGCCCTCCGTATATTTTGGTGCCTTTCTGGTTTGGACTTTTTTTTTTCTTTTATTGTTAGACACTTGTTTCTCGTGTTGATTGGTCACCTCTTCTGACCATAGACCTGGGTCCTCAGCTAAAAAAAATACATGTTTTCTCTTTCTTCACTTTCTTCTGCCCTGTCTCCATCATTTTTCCTTTACTAAGTAAACAGCTTGATTTGCTTTCCTCCATAAAATAATAATTCATAATTTCACTGTCTTTATAAAGTGTTATCAGGCTAAGATTTAAAGCTAATGCAAAGTCTTTAATACCATGAAACTGTTAAGTGTAATAAAACCAATGATATCAAATATTTTTATCGCTGGTTTAGTTGGAAATTAACAAATAATAGCTTCAAAGTTAACTGACTTTACCGGGAAGTAATATCTATCAAATGTTAGCTCCTATGAGGTTTGCCTACCATGCTGAGACATCTGTGAATACGATAAACTTATACATGAAATGTAGCCTAAATGAACCGAAAGCTACTAGAATTTTGTCTGACTGTATTAAATAAAACTTGCCAGCGTTAACTTCGACCATTCTTAAACTGTATTACTTGAGCAGACTTTCCTTTTAAAAGAAACTTTTCAGAGCTCTTTTCCTTCTGATTATTTTTTTCGTTCTATTCACTTTTGAAAACTTCATAGTGAGATACAGTGCTACCTTCAGCATCACTCAGGCACTGTACAGACTGACCATTTGCATATGATAGAGGTAAGAGTGGCTTCTGACAGAGAATTCACATTATTTCTAAAAAGAAATTCAGAGTATATTTTAAGTAAATCAGACTTTTTTGTTATACAAGAACAGTAACAGCTTGGAGAGGAACAAAAGCAAGGAAAACAGTAAGTGTATTTCAGGTTTGTCAAGGGCCCCCCTCCTTACAAGGGCCTTAAGCATTCAGTACTTCTTTCCCTGACCTTGACGCCCCTGGATTCAATGCTACACTGCAAAGACCACAGATTCTTATCAGCCTACTCACAGGAGGCACACACATCAAACTGAACTCAGCCATAGTTATGTCCAAAAGACAGCCTCTGTGCTTGAGAAATGAAGCCAGTGCAACAGTGCTAAAAACTGCACTTCCTTAAATGGCCACTTGAGGCTTGCCCCAGAAGCACTGGAAACCACATACACACCTATTATCAAAAAAATCTAAAAGTATAAAAAATAAACATGAATACAACAGGAATACTCAAAGAGAAATAGAAATCATTGGTGAGTAAAAGAGCTAGATTTGAGCTCCACACTTGTACCACCTGTGCTCTTCAGTTCAACTGGAGGCCATTTTACGGGTGATTATTTCAGAATATCGATACCAATGAAGTCCTAGTGCTTTTCTAGGTCAGGAAAGTGGTTTCCTTGGTAGTGGTGAAATCAGTGCTAGTATTGTATGGTGCTTTGGAATAATGGGCCAGGAAAGGGAGAGAGATACACAGGTTGAAGGTTGAGACAATTTATGTCTGATTTTTTCTCAGGAGTATTGTGCAAGTGAGTAGTGTGTGATTGCTAGGGTGTATTCATTGAAAACAAGTTTAGATGAGATGTTTAGATTGCGTCCATTTGGCACACCATTTAGACTTTGCTTTACTTTTTTAGTTGCTTTAATGTAACTTTACTCTGGATTGGCTTGGGTTTGGTTGTCAATGATAATGTTTTTGTACAGATTAATGGCATTTTGTTACTTTTTATGATAATTTGATGGATTAGTTTATTTCCTCATAACTGTATATAAAATTTAAAAGCTCTACCAGAACAGATTTTTTTTTTCTTTTATTGATTTGCATTGACCTCCTCTGCAATGACTCACTTGAGCTGAATGGATTAGAATATTGAATCCTGGTCTATGCTTCTCTTTACAAGTTTTCAAATGTGGTACATCTGAAATTTTTACTGTGTGCTCTGAAATATCAGCACTTTCAAAGCTGGATAGTTAAGTGTTTCACAGATTTACATACAATGGACTATTTCCTGGTAGTTTCATCATGGGATGTGTTGACTAAATGCTTGTATTAGGTGCAGGATTTGGTGGGCTTTCCATTCAGCTGTCTGAGCTGTGGCTATAGTGTATCTGAAGCACTGGTACTATTATTTACTGTGCCTCTTTGTTGAAAGTGATTACTGTGGTGAAGTCATTTAGATTTTTTAGAATAGGCTACTGAAATGTCTTAATGTAGTGGGACTTCAGAGTTCTTGTCAGTTAAGCTTGGTTCCATTTGCATACCGTCTTATTCTTCAGTTTGGTTCTTTAGATGGTACATGTATACTCTCAGTGCCTCGACGATTGCAGACAGCTACAGCAAAGAATTGGAAAGCAAGGTGATAGGTGAAGGAGAAAGAGAGGAGGAATGTTTCCACCATGCTTTGTAAAACTTGGTGACTTAATCCCTTTAGTTGTGACTGTGGCCCTGAGTGACTTGTTCACTGTCTAATCCAACTGGTAAATCAATCTGTAAACTCTCAATTTTGTAAACTGGGAAAAAGAAATTTCAAACGACCTTGATGGAAGCTTTCTCTGCATATAATGAAACAACTTCTGTTCCCGTATTAAAGCCCTTAGGGTAATCTCAAGTTTGACTCAGATTGATTACTATCTGTCTGTTATTGCATCCTGCTGTCTAGTTTTAATCATTTGTAACAACAATAGAGTGACATTATCTGACAGAGCCTTTCTGATGACTTTGATGTCTGTATCTATCAGAGAGAAAGGATTATCACTGAAAGGTTACAGCCTGGATTGTGTATCAATGTTACAGTCATAAACCACTGACATAGGTTGGAGTTTCAACTGTTCCTTTAACACCGTAATAATAATAAATTTTATTTGTAAAGCGCTTTTCACAGACTCAGACACTGGTTTAAGTTGATGCCAAAAATGTCCAAAAACTGAAGTAAGACATGTGGATCTTTGATGATCGATATTTATCCAGTTCGTGTATTGAATTTTTACACTTTGATGGTATAATTGATTACTGTGCAGTAAGGTTTAGATGCATTAGATGCATTAAAATGTAAACATTAGGTGATGTAAATGTACAGTATATGATATGATTGACTGCTGCTTTGGTCTGGTGGCTTCACTGCTAGTTTTGGCTAAACTGCTAATGCTACTTGTGATGTCAGTGGTGGCAGGCTGTGCAGACTCCACTCCCATTTTCATGCTTTCTGCATTCACTCTGGAAGTACTTCTTCAAATTATTAAACGGATTTGTTGTGTTGCTGGTATTTGAGGGCACCACCCACTGACATACCTTGCATGACATCACTTTGGAGATACCTGAACCACCACCACACAACCGACGTTGAATAACTTCTCAACGATAACATCTTCAAAAGATGACTCAAAGTCACGGCTGACATCTATTTTGCTGCCTTCAGCTTCGGATTTAGCTCCATGTTCGGTGGCTGTTGTGACGCACATTTCCGCTATGTTTCATCCAGTTGATCAGCGTGATCGAACTAAAATTTATCACGATCATCAATCACAATCATATAATCGCCCAGTCCTACTTCAAAGTCAGGTTAATTGTCTGGTGTCTGTGTATGGGATAGTGTATAGTTAGCAGGTGATCATTTGAAGTATAATTCCGGTCTGGATAATTGTCTAATTTTCATTTAAGAGGTGTATAATTAGCTTGCCAAGTTGCCGGCTAACTACACATTATCTAGATTTTTACCTGTCCACTCACTAAAGATATAAATAAAGAAAGAGTAAGTTTTGATTTAATGATCATTTTATGATTTGACAATGGTTTATTAATACAGGTTCAACACAGCACTTTAGATTTGATGGTTGGTAGTGCTTCCATGGTAATCTTATCAGCCTACTTGAAGTTTGGATTAACAGGGAATTTAACTGTTTTATTCATATTATAGGCTAATCAATAGACTGCTTTGTGGGTATAAGCCCCATTGAACTTCACATTTTCACTGACAATGAAGCCAAAACATTAAACTTTTTTTATACTGGCATGCTAAAAAAGATGCAAATGTAAACAGCAGCAAATGTATTTAGATCCTCTTGCCTGTTACTTTTCTGCTGACATTTTGTTCTCACTCAGCCAGCTCTGTACCTCTGCCAAAGCCCATACTGTGTGCATTTTGTGGTCGTTATGTGTCTGTTTTTCCTCAGTCTAGTGGACCTCGTGTCAGCTTCTTGTGCATTACAACATCCCTCACCAGTGTCTGCAGTTTTTACTCCCACTTTTTTTATGACTGCTCAGCTATTGACCTCAAAACTGGATTTTTGTGCTCTGCAAATAAATTGCCAGTAATGTCAAAAATATCCACCCCATTAAATAGAGATTGCCACAATGTCAACAAGAAGAGGTGAAATCCTTAATTTTTTTGACAGCATCATACTCCTTTTCCTGGATTGATTTGCAATAATGCCCTTAATTGTTCTACTTGTTTGCTGCATCCCTCTTGCTATTCATAAGTAACAACTGTTATCGAGAGGCTTTGTCCATTCAGAATAAAATATTTTACACAGCAAGACAAGATTAGTGAATATCTAAATGTATCTGTTCACCTCTATCTGGGTCCACTTCAGATTTGGAAGTTATTTTTATTTTTCTGTCAAGTTTTTTAAAAGGCATTAATGTGGGTTGCTTTATCATTTTAATTCTAAGTGACTAGGTTGTATTTACTGGAATAAAATCCATAAATTCTTATATTTGTCACTTCTCTTTGTTTTGTTCCAGCTTCTCTCTCTGTCAGTGGGGAATGTTTACAAAATGTTTGATTTACCATCATCCGCATAATCTTTTTCTGCTTTAATCTTGTAAAATGTGCATAAGATTATGGTATATGCTGTATTGCAGCTTTTACTGTTTCCCACTGTAATATATGCGAGCCGTTCAGATAATCTTCAGTGTCCATAAAGGATACAAGAGGAGAGCGTTCCATACGTACCTGTCAAATTCACTATCTCTGAGGAGTGAAGCAGTGAAGCACCATCTGGAAGGCTGTTTGTAAAATTGCTTACGGTGGAGAACCACGGAGATGGGGCATGGCCACTTTTTATAATTGAATGGATTGATACATCAATTATGTCTTTATAATTGGGTTACTAGTGATGAAAAGTCAATACTGTGAAATGAGTGATGTAGCAGTAAAAGAGCTGAATATGTATTTACTGTTATTTTAACCACAATCCCTAAAAAATCCTGCTGCTAAGTTATTTATGATTAATAAGCTGTTTGGCTAAAAACCTTTTCTGGTTATCTTTAAATGAGCCAAAGTGACTGTAAAGCACTTTGCGTTACATTCTTTCGTAGGAAAAGCGCTTTATAAATAAAGTTTGATTTGATTTGATTTGAAACTGTAAATGAGTATGAAAAATCCTGAAACAAGAGGGTCATGAGGGCCAGTAGGTAAAGGTAAGTCCTTAAGTATTCCTCTAGTATTGGAGTTATTAGTGGAATTCAAAGGCTTCAAAATCCTGAAAAATCATGATGATTTTTGTTATAAGTTAGGGCCCGACCAATGTGGATTTTTTGGGACCGATGCCGATACTGATTATTAGAGGGGGAAAAAATCTGATTACCAATTAATCGGACAATTTTTTTAAATTTTTATTAAGTTATAAAAAATACATATATACTGTAGATATCTACAGTATACTGTAGGCTACTGCTCTTCACGCCGACAGTAAGACCGACTGATCAAACTCGGACCAGAAAAGCATTTTCAACCACCGCCGCTGCCGCCAATCGGTGTCTCTGTGTCTTAACTCACGTTACACATTTCCGGTCCGGTCTCATCTGGAGACATGCAGCTGCCTCAGTAAGAGAAGTAGCTCCATCACGTAATGTGTACTGTTGTTTATTCTACCATTACTGGCACAGAGAACAGTGTAGCAAGGCTAATAGCAGCTGGCTCACTCTAAATTTAGCTTGCATATTACATGGTGCTTCACCATTAACTCGGCATGACCGAGACCAGCACAGAGGGGAACATCATGAAGTGGGTTGAACTGAAACTTGTTGACTTACTGTGTACTCAACGCTGTTGAGGCGGACCACTCTCCTCCGTGCGTCACTGAGCTGTCTGCTTCAGATCCGTCACTCTGCTATGCCATGAGGTAGTTAGTGGATGAAGATTGTCATGAGGTCACTGCGCCACCTATAAGATACGTTGGGGAACTTTTCAAATGGTGTATCATTTTCTTACTCTCCGCATTTTATTTCTGAAAATATTGGCGAAAATCAGCTAGTTTTTGCCGATTACAGATTAGTCTCAAACAGGCTAAAATCGGCCAATTTAATTGGCTCGCCACTAAATCGGTCAGGCCCTAGTATATGTCCTATACAATGTAGCCTGGGTTAAACTATTCCTGCTTTATAGTTTGTATATGAGTTTGTATCAGTGTAAACTTCAAAAATATCATTGACTCCAACATGCAGTCAGTGGTTATCAAGAGAGTAAATAAGAACAACAGACTGAAGGTCATAAATCAAACAAGCATGTAAATAAGCTTGATGCAAAAGAACAGAGATAACATACATTTGAAGGGTGGCTGTTGAAAAAGATGACCATGGGGGGAAGAGTGTGTTTGCATGTGTGTGAGGAGGGAGCGTGTCTCATTTTATCAGAGTCACCGATGGGTAGGCGTGATGTAATGTGAGAGAAAAGCTGGGTGTTGTAATGGGGTCAGGGTAAAGCTGTCCTTCAGTGAACAATTTGTCTACAGCCAAATTCGCACATTTCTTGCCTTATTTTTGGTACTTCACGTATGACACTTTTACTTGATCATCTTACATATCGTGGAAAAGTGTTCATCAAGTCTCCAAACCCAAGTGCATTTAAATTTCCAATCCATTCTAAATGAACCCTTAATGTCACAAATATTCATATACATTTAACAGGTTTGTTTGTTTGTTTTTTAATTTGGTCCAAATTGGTGAACTTGTGTAAAATGATCCACATATTTGAACAGTTCTTTGGAGATGTGTCTGCCCTGGGTACACGAGACTAGCTTAGAAGATACAGTATGGAGTTTTAGATTTTATGACGTAGATGTGGCAAAATAAAGGCTTGAATTCAGCTCCACTTTTCTGTCTTTATGTGATAGCTGGTGAGCACATTCAGTTTATCATCGATTGGTGAAAGAATGATAGATAGAACACCTGAAAATGAGCAGCTGAATCACCTTGAATCTGTGACAGGCCATTGCCACAGGGGATCTCAGCTGAGATTTCATGCCTTTTCAAGACGCAGCTAATGAGATGAACCTGAGTTTTTGTTGTGGCATAGCTGTATTGGCCTTTGTTGGTTACGTTTTCTCTGAGTTAATAATGCAAAAGCCCCATGAGATGTCGGTGTAACAGTGCTATCAACTATATTCAAATACGTCCTGACACGTAGTCAGACAGGCATTGTTATACCACACTTTTAGTCTGTAACCAGGGGCATTGTAATAAAACTGTTGTTAAGTGGCTTCATGATTGTCCTTCATGATTTCTTGTTAGAGGATGAAAAATGTCTGCATTATATTTTGCCTCCCTGTGCAGTGATCCCGAAAGCACCCAATAGGCACCAGATCTTTTCAACCCATCAATGGAAACACTCTCAAGATGCTGTCTATTAAGACATGCTGACTGATTTCCTCAACTTCTGCTAAGAGGGTGAGAGACCTTTGCTCTCTTGGTCCATCCAAGTCACAAACCTATCAGACTGGACAGAACTTCTGTCATGCTGAGGTACAACCCATCCTTCAGATCTAAAAAGCACTGGGAGTTCCAGACTTGGATGTTTTTCACCCAATACCCCATGGGGGTGAAAATTGTGTATCTAACTATGCGCGACATCTTCCATTCGTTTCCCTTTAAGAGGGGGAGGCCTAAATGCTTTTTGGACTTATGTAGCTTTGTGTTACATGCATCATAAACGAACTCAACATCTCTGACATAATTCATTCAGAACTCTGCTGCCCACCTGCTCACCCGCACCCAAACACATCACCCCTGTCCTCCAAAAACTGCACTGGCTCCCCATCTCACACCACATACAATTCAAAATTCCTCCTGCTCACCCACAAATCACTTAACAACCTGGCCCCCACCTACCTCACAGACCTGCTCCACCACTACATCCCCTGCCGTGCCCTCCGATCCTCAGAGGGAAATCTCCTTGCCCTACCCCCTCGGACCAAGCACCTAACTTGAGGGAGAAAGAGCTTTCTCCGCTGCCGCCCCCACCCTCTGGAATATCTCCCCAAACCCATCTGAGACTGTAAAGACCCCCATACTTTCAAATCGCTTCTAAAAACACACCTTTTAAATTGGCTTTTAACCAGTGAACTGTTCTTTTATTGTCTTTTCATATTGTGTCTTTTTTAACCTTCTACACTGTTGGTCTTATTACTTAAAATTATCTGTATCTTAAATTGTTTTTTTTTTTGTAAAACATCTTTGAGTACCTGTAAAAGTATGTTAAAAATAAAATTTAGCATTATTATTATTATTATTATTATTATTATTATTATTATATTTGAGCTCATCTTGACTTTTTTTAAAGTCATGTTAAGAAGCAGGCAAGACCATCAGCGACAAAACAAAAGATTTGACACTGATACTTTCAATACCTGTAACCTGTAAGGTAGTTAATATTTTTCAATAAATCCTACATTTGACTGTTTTTGTTTATTATTTGTCAAAAGTCATTCTAAGTTTGTAGAACAAAAATTATGTTTAGTCAACAGGGGGCGCCAAAATTAACAAAACTGAAAGTTCTCCACAGGTGCTTTAACCAGAACTGAAAAGACAAAATATGTGCTAACTCACTGACTTGTTTTTAATTACAGCCAAAATGAGATCAATCCTTTGTCCGACCTATATTACAAACTGGAATACTCAGTATATTATACAACATTACCACTGCTTTCTCACCACATCTGACATAAACATTCGACCAGTTCCTTCCTAACTTCACCTGACCGAGAAAACCTGACCTCATATGATGAAAAACCTTCAGCTAACGTTAATGTGACGGAGCGGCCGGCAGCGCACGGAGCGACACACACTCACACACACACTCACACACATACTTGCATATCCGCCAAACATCACCCTCCAGGACAACGTCGCTAAATACCTTCTAAACAGCTCCTCTTCTCCTTCTATCTTCTCCGCAGGATAAGATAACTAAGGGTGGACACCAAGGCTCTATCGGCTAACTTAAACATACATTTACACAGACATGTCTCCACTTACCCGCCAGGCGTCCACACACACCATCATGCCGTCTTCTGATTTCAAACGAGGAAGCGGAGCGCGTGATTTCCGGGTGTAAAAAAGATTGGTATGGCGGGCAAAATGAGTCATATGACGCCGGAAAAAATAATCCCTTTTTGTCTTCTATAAATTTCGAAAAAATATGCTCCATCGATTTAGGTGAAAACTTAGTTAAAATGGTAAAAATTTATATAAAAAGTCTGAATGTTAAAAGAGGGTTAAAATGGTTTAAAAGTGACTAAAATGTCTTTTCCAAACTTATGTAACTAATAACACCCAGTGGGAGGGGCTGAGGGGGGTCAAAGAAGGCTGCCTGTGCCTCTTAAAATGTGAAGTTGGCTGCAAAGAAGGTAACTCCTGAACTGATTTTTTTCTCTTTTTTTACATTTTGTATTGCCGCTGTGTTGCTGATAATTTGTCTTGAGCAAGAATCTCGAGTTAATGTTGAACTCTCACCTTGTTGGCATTGTCTTTTTTTTTTTTTTTTTTTTTTTACCTTGTACATTTTTGCAAATAGTATTTTGACCATTTCTGCACCTTTTTGTAAATGTTTTTCCACTGCACCTTGGTAAGCTGTAAGTAAATTTCACCATCACCATTAAATGCTAATACTGTCGAAATGTAACTTTTCGGTTGAGTCAAATATGCTCTCTTAGTCTAAACTTTGACCCAGTAATTTTAGAGATTTTTGCTTGTTTTCAGTTGCTGAGAAATAAGTTGACATAAACAATCTGACAAATTTGTGATGTTCATAGTAGCTGAAACAAACCTGTAACCTGTAACCATGGCTATAGTATCTCACAACAAAATTATTATTATTATTATTATTATTATTATTATTATTATTATTATTATTATTATTGTGGTATTTGTGAAAAACTGGATTATCAAATTCAATGATGTTCACAGTTATATTTTGACCATGTCATTTGCCCTGACACAAACTTCATTGAAGAATACTTCACAAAATAAATGTTTGTGATGCTTTTATTTTGATGTTTTTACTGTTATGTATTCCAGATGCTTTGTTTCCTGTATTATAAAATCATGCTTTTTGACATGTAAGTATTCATGGTAGATGATATGGTGCAGAATCAACTGAAAAAAAGTTAGATTTCAATTCATTAGCACCTTTGAAGATAAATCCTGGAGCATCAGTTTTAAAAGTGTCAAACCGTGTTTTGAAGGGCTACTACAGCTAGCTCACTTGCAACTGCTGCAGCTTCTTCATCTTCTTTCCTTGTAATGCCACGTGACAACCAGCATGGACATCCACTATCCTTACTATGAATCAATTACTTTCAATTACCCAATGTTTTTTTTTTTAAACAATATCACTATTTCATTTCTTCAAAAGAGACTGTTATCATCCCCAGTTAATTTGACAGCCCTCCCTGTATCATAACAACATCTGAGTTTCCCAGCCAGAGCATGCTGTCAGAGAAACATGGTTTCCATGTAGATATGATGGATAGCAAGGAAGGTGCAAGTAACAAGCGCACCATATCTTTTAATCTGTTGAGCCGTTAGAGGGGCTGGTAAAGGTGCTACTTGATGACATTTTGACAGACCTGTGCAGGGGAGACGGTAGCCCTCACTTTGCTTCTATTGTATATGTTGAGTGTGTCAAGGTCTCATTTTTGAACTCTGCTTTGAATGACCTATGAGTGGTGCGCTGGTCTCCATTAGTCTGCCCACTGCCCCCATTTCCAGTGCCCATTGTTCTCAGTCATGCACATCCTTACACCTCAGCCTGCTCTAAGCACTGCTAGTAAAACCAGCAGGTGCAAGAGGCCATGCGCAATACCCATATCCAAGAACATACATTGTATTCTCAAGAGACCTGGGCATGTGAAAGCCTGTGTTTATATACGTGTAGATGAGTTTCAAAGCCTTTAAATCCCTGTTAGAGGGTGTGTGTACACTGTGATTGCAAATATTGTGACAGCTTCTACAGTAAGAAAAGTCACATTTACATCCTGACAGGCAAATCCTGAATACGTGGCAAACTGTGCACTTGCAGACAACAAAGGTGAGAAATGATGGCAGCATAAGTGATACACTCAACTGTCTTCTTTCCGTGTGAAACGCAATGTATTTATAGAGATATATACAAATACATTCCCTCTGTATTCTGTGATGAATATGTTTGGTTTCCTTAATTTTTTTCTCGCATTTATATATGTCTGGATGAAATTATGAACAAATTGTGATTTTATTATTGGAATCAGTTCATTTTATGAGGGGAAATAGCTATCCTTAACACCTGCAAAATCAGATAAACAGCAATGAGCGATTTCTGTGCTGCCATTTTATACTCAATGTCCCTTTTTTGCCAGTGCTTACGGAGATAATGTGCGAAAAGCAAGCATACAATTATTGACAACACAGAAATCGTTATATAACAAGCAATCCACTGACAGTGACTGAAGTCTGCGCCATAATGCTCACTGGCAGCTATGACAGAGGATGATGTACCAAATGAGTGTAGATTAACCGATTTATACAAGGGGGGATGATTGCTTTTATCTGTATTCAGAATATGTAACACCTACAATTTTGTTAGTCCATGCAGTTCAGCAGTCTCAGGGTATCTAACTAGCATGGGTTTGATTTCTGAAGTAAATGAAAGATTGGCACTGTTACTAGGCATTTTAAAAGCCCATTGTTGAATATCCTATACTGTTAATCAGCCTCACGAACACTCTGCCTGCAGGCATACCACTGTCAGGTTGCACAACCAGCCAGTCATTGTCCGGACTTAAAGAGCTCAGCGGCAGTAAAATGGAATTTAAGGTTATATAGAAAAGACATTCATTGATTCCAGAGTCTACTTCACATTTTCACCATCAATCAGCCAATGGTTCATGACCTGATGGAGGTTGAGTTTTACCTGGTCAGCATTAATGAAAACATGGATCTTTAACCAAACAAAAGTAACAACTTTAAGGCCAAAATGGTTCAAGAAATATGCCTATCTGTCTGCTGTAATACAAAGCAAACATAGTACAGATATTTTACTTTGTTTTCTAAAGATAATAAGTAATTTTTATTGCATTTCTTTTGAATCTTGACTCCTTTATCTGGTTATGTAAAAAAGAGAGATCTTTTTTTTTTCTGTGATGACAAGGAAATAAACTCACTTTCTCCTTTCTCAAGAAAACAAAGCTTGTTTTCCAGTGATGTTTTGTAGTAAGGTCTTGTTATCATGCAAAACAAGCTTTGGTATCACCAGGTAACAGAACAGATTTATCTATTATAGCCAGCTGTCGTATCGAGTAAAATCAATTGAGATCTTGAGGAGACAGCTACAACTAAAACCAAGAGTCAAGATCTTGGAAGGGGATGTCACAAAATCAGATGTTCACCCTAAAATATGGAGATTACAACAATATTGTGATATTTATGCAAAACTTGAAAAGAAAACAACACAATCAGTCAAAACAAGGACATGACAAGAGTGGAGAAACACAACAGCTACAAATGCAATTATCCTACATGTCACCATCTATTTCTATTAGCAAGACATTTTTGATATTAGCTCTGTAATTGAAACTTCTTTGTCCGTTATGACTTTATTTTAAAATGTTCTGTTTAATATTTAGGTTGCTTTTATTTCCTATGTTGTCAAATTATATTTATTTTTGAGTGACCTGTTTCTAGCAGATCAAATGTTACAGAATTGAATGGAAAGAAAGTACGAATGTCAAACTGATTAGTATCCCAGAGAGACACAAGCTTGAACATTGTTTTTGGATTCACAATAAATCTTGAATATCAGTTTTAGGAGTGCTTTATTGTCTCTCAGAAAGCTAACTTAAGCTAGCTCACTAGCTTTTCTGAAACTTCTTTTTCATTTGTCCTCTGTTTAATGGTAACAAGCATTGGGACCACTGCTATGAAGTCAGCAAATGCTTTTTTTCAGCTCAGTGTCAGTATTTCATTTTTTCCTAAAAGACTGTCTTTGTTAATACTGGTATATCTTGACAGCCTTTCTTTTGAATAAACATCAGGAAATTGCCTGTTTTGATAAGATAAGTATAAATAAAACTTGAAGAGACATGTCCGCTGAGGGCTTTTGTATCTTAACGACTGATACAGTATCACAAATTTCACAGTGTGATGTGTCATGGTGACCTTTTTACAAACACCACACATATAAACCCTCGCTGTCATATATTAGCCATTGTTAAAAATGATAGAAAACACAATGAACAATTGTAATGAAGGGTACAGAGGACATTTAATTCCAAACTACCCCTAGGACAATCACTTTTACTTCACCAGGCCTGCTTATAATCAAAGACAAATTTTTGACCTCAACTTTTATATCCCCCTCTTAAGTTTTTATTGCATTGTTCATTTCAGCCTCACATAGCCAGTCGCATTGCTAAAGACTCTTTGCTCTTCATCTCTCATTTAACACGGCCTCTTCTCATTATCTTCCTGGATTTTGGAAGTGAGCAGGGATGTAGTTACCAAAAGTCCTGTCGGCCTCCCTGACTTAACCTTGACAGATACATCTTGTAGAGTTAGGAAAATATATGCATAACATGACATTTTAATGCTAACAGAGGACAAGATGTTTCTTGTCATTTCTGTACCCCGAGTGAATTGAAATGAGTGCTGCCTTAAAATCCCTTAAGCGCAGAAATTGCAGGCAACGGAGAGTAAAAGGCGGAGTGGCACTTAGTGCTGTGCTCTCTCTGCTCATGTGAGAGAGAAAATACAGTAGCAATACATGACTTAAGGCTTGGGCTGGGAAGCTGTTTATGAAAAATGTGTAATATTGCTTAATCACTCATGTTTTATTTCTTTAGTTCACACATAATTAGATAATATAGTATCGGTGCTACAATGATTAAGTCAATTAAGTTCAAAGCTTATGTGCTAATGATCACATGCAGTAGAAACACTCAGAGCGTGAACATCCAGACATGGAAAGAGTTCCCCTTTCTCTGACTTTCTTCAAGCGTGACTCATTGTCCATCTGAAAAATTTTATTCTCTCTGACTTTGAGAGAAGTCACAGACATCTCAAATTA